AGGACCATTGAGTCTACGATTCATGTGGTTTCGAGGATATCTGGCAAAGGAAACCAAGCTGCTTCTTGACAATAGAGGAGCATGTCTGCTTTTAAAGTCTTTTTCCCCCCTTCAAAAATGCTGTTTGTATAAGTTTTGCTTATTTCTGTTTTGTGCTTCAGTTTGTCCAGTGCTTTCTGCTTGAATTGCAAGATTAAATTTATATGCTTAATTCTTGGTCAGGCAGAACTCCAGATTAAAAAGGAAAAAAATTAGCATCTACCGTACACTTTCTTAAAGGGCAATCAGATAATGAATATGTTTTATGTAATTCAAAGTTCACTGTAGTGGCTTTCATTTAATATGGCTGTCTGGGAGAACAGGGTCTCCTCGCCCTGTATGATGTAATTTAAACTGATGGCATTTTTACTGTGTATAATATGGTGTCCTCTGTGCCAGTTTTGTACCTTACAATAGAGGCAAATTGCCTCCAATCGCTGTGGTTTTTATTATCAAAATTAAGTTTACTTGTATACTAAACAACCACAAGAAATTTGATTCTGTAAAGAATCCTCTAGCTGTGGCCTGACAGTATATATATAAATATATATATATATGGTGCTTTATTTAACAGAATACCTGTGGAGGAAATAAAGCACACTTGATGTAAAATTAATTGTTTTATTTTTATTGACATGACCGATTGCTATTCTGTGCACTTCATTAAACTGATTGTGACGACTTTTCATTCGTTTTTATATATGTTGCCTCAGTGCTCCAGTTTTATTTATTTTTTTACCAAAGCTGCAAGCTAAGAGCCTCACCTGGATGACTCGGAACTAGTCTGGGATATGATAAACTGGACCCAGTTCTTGTTGATTGTTCTCCCTCTGGGAGAATAAGTTCATATTCTGCATGTGCCCCCTCCTCCAGATTGTCTGACCCACCTATCTTCAGAGACTGGGTTTCAGGCCTAATGAGCACAGCCGCTTATGCCCCGTAGGTCCTACTCCATGAAACCATTTGCAGAGACTAAAAGCCCCTGCTCCCCAACTTTCCTATGTCGCCTCCTCCCCAGGGTTTCTTGCAAGCAGTCAGTCTGTGTCTGCTTGCAACCTGTCTTTGCTTTTCTTGTTTAATACTTCTCCTGGTTTTGGGAGTAATAGGGAGGGGGCACCCATGACTTCACTCTCCCGACTCCCTTCTCCCACTCACTGGATTCTACTTTTGCTTGACCTCTCTCTGCCAGACTCCCCCAGCTCACTGAGCCCTGTTACCCCATCAGCTTCCAACACCTCTTCCCAGTCTTTTCATTCTGACCACCCATCATCGTCCCACCACCATTCCCTGGACTCTGAGCCTTTCCTCCTTTGGTGGTTCCCCAGCTGGTTCCTCCCACTGTTCCTGTGCGTCTTACCAGTCTGATAGCCAGTGGATGTATTGGAACATTTGTCTTGCCTCAGCAATAGCCTAGACGATAGCCAACAACCTGAAGCTCAGCCCTGCTTAAAGGGGGGACCCCTGACCATTAGGTCCAGTCGTGGCTGACTCTGGGGTTGCGGTGCTCATCTCGCTTTATTGGCCGAAGGAGCCGGCGTGCAGCTTCCGGGTCATGTGGCCAGCATGACTAAGCCGCTTCTGGCGAACCAGAGCAGCACACGGAAACACTGTTTACCTTCCCGCAGGAGTGGTACCTTTTTATCTACTTGCACTTTGACGTGCTTTCGAACTGCTAGGTTGGGAGGAGCAGGGACCGAGCAACGGGAGCTCAACCCGTCACGGGGATTCGAACCACCAACCTTCTGATAAGTCCTAGGCTCTGTGGTTTAACCCACAGTGCCACCCGCGTCCCTTCAGCCCTGCTTAGACATGGGTATTGTTAGTGGGCAGTTCCCTAGACCGGATGGATGGGAGGCTGCCTACCCTGGATGGGGTTACACTCCTGAAGGAGCAGATGCGCAGCTTGGGGGATACTTCTGGATCCCTTGCTGTTGCTTGAGGCTTAGGTGGCCTTTGTGGTGTGGGTGTGGAGCGCCTTCTATCAGCTTCCTTGTGCTGTGCTCCAAATGTCTGTTATCTGCTCTGGTAACCCCTAGGTTAGATTACTGTAATGCCTTAGACATGGAACTGCCTCTAAAGATAGTTCAGAAACTTCAGCCGGTGCAGAATTCAGTGGACAGGTTGGTTGCTAGGTCAGGACCATTTGAGCATATTGCACTGATCCTGGCCCAATTCCACTGGCTGCCAGTTAGTTTCTGGGCTCAATTCAAAGTGCTGGTCTTGACCTATAAAGCTTTAAACAGCACAGGACTGCAGTACCTCAAGGACCACCTCTCACGACCTGGACCCTGCGATCATCATTGAACGCTCTTCTTCATGTGCTTCCTTCATGAGAGATCCGGAGGGCAGTGACACAAGAATGCCCCTTTTCTGCAGTGGCTCCCTGTTAGTGGAATGCCCTCCCCAGGGAGGCTCATCTGGCACCTTCATCATATATTTTTAGGCACCAGGGAAAAGCATTCCTCTTCCAGGCCTTTGGCTAATTAAGCAATCTCTGCATCAGGGAGGGGGGTGGGGGAATTGTTTTTGTTTGTTCCTATATGTATTGTGTGCTTATATTCTAAATTGTCCTGTGATCCTTGGATAAATGGTGGTATAGGGATGTAATTATAATGACACACCATGTTATAATTAAAAAAAAACCATTCAGGAATCACTTTATAGGTACATTTGGGAGTTAACTGTATTTGACTAAGCCTTTTGTAGAACCTGTTTCATGCATTCTGTGTCCAGGGCAGCTGTTTATCAGCTCCATCTGGTATGCAGGCTGAGAACCTACCTGCCAGCAGACTGTCTTGCCAGAGTGGTGCATGCTCTAGTTGTCTCTCGCTTGGACTACTGCAATGCGCTCGTATGTGGAGCTACCTTTGAAGGTGACCTGGAAATTACAATTAATCCAGAACGCGACAGCTAGACTGGTGACTGGGAGCGGCCGCCTAACACCGGTCTTGAAAGACCTACCGTATGCTGGCTCCCAGTACGTTTCCAAGCACAATTCAAAGTGTTGATGCTGACCTTCAAAGCCCTAAACGGCCTTGGTCCAGTATACCTGAAGGAGCGTCTCCACCCCCATCGTTCTGCCCGGACACTGAGGTCCAGCACCGAATGCCTTCTGGCAGTTCCCTCACTGTGAGAAGCAAAGCTACAGGGGACCAGGCAGAGGGAATTCTCAGTAGTGGCACCTGCCCTGTGGAACGCCCTCCCACCAGATGTCAAAGACAAAAACAACTACCAGACTTTTAGAAGACATCTGAAGGCAGCCCTGTTTAGGGAAGCTTTTAATGTTTAATATATTGTATTTTAATCTTTTGTTGGAAGCCGCCCAGAGTGGCTGGGGAAATCCTGCCAGATGGGTGGGGTATAAATAATAAAAAAATATTATTATTATTATTATTATTATTATTATTATTATTATTATTCAGAAGCACACCACCAATGCAATGCAAAGTTTGGGAGATAATGCCAATATAAACACAGATTTCTTTTATATTTTTTTTTATTCACCAATAATTTGTTTCAATGCCGTAAGAATTTAATGAGTTAACAGCTAACATGTTGGTGGAAAGGCCTGCTACTAACTGTATAGGACTTTTCTGCTACATGAGAATATACAAATACAAAAAGCATGTCGAACTGACTTATAGTGGATGTTGGCCTGCAGTAAGTGGCGTTTTCACTTCAATATTTTATCGTGATGCAGTCCAAATGTGTTTCAGCACACACATACAGAATCATGAGCTCTGCCTAAGTTTCAGAACTCTTAGGAAAATGTACACATGCCGTTTGGGCTTTTCACTTGCTGAGCAACGTTAAAGTAACCATTGCAAAATGTCCTTTATGCAGGCCGATCAATTTCAGCTTTGTTCTCAAACTTTCCCTGTGGCATCGCAGATGGATTGTGATTGCGTGTTGGTCATAAGTGAGGGGAAATGCTTACCCATTTCCCCAGTTGGCATGCAGGAGGCATCCAAATTACCTTCTGCATCAGCTAGGCCAGGTAGGGACATTTGGCCAGTACCACATGGCTTCTCTGTTACTATGGGAAAGGCTCTGCAGAAGCCATTCAACTCCTGCAATGATCCTTGTGAGCAATCAGGCAGCAGCAGTGGCACCTCAACCACGATTTCGGCTCCTGCCTTAATTCGGTCAGCAATGGTCCTAGGGACCCATTCACTCCATCTTTGACAGAGTTCAATCAGCTCACATCCATTTATGATACCAACAACCTTGGTATTTTAACATGTTATGCTGCTGTAGCAAAACACTGAATACAAATTTGCCTTATACCCGAATCAGACTGCTGCACCCCATAGTTGCCTTTGACTGGACCTAACCGTCCAGGGCTCATTTACTTTTTAAAAGGTAAAGGGACCCCTGACCATTAGGTCCAGTCGTGACCGATTCTGGGGTTGCGGCACTCATCTCGCTTTATTGGCCGAGGGAGCCGGCGTACAGCTTCCGGGTCATGACTAAGCCACTTCTGGCAAACCAGAACAGCACACGGAAACACCGTTTACCTTCCCGCCAGAGCGGTACCTATTTATCTACTTGCACTTTGACGTGCTTTCGAACTGCTAGGTTGGTAGGAGCTGGGACCGAGCAACGGGAGCTCACCCCGTCACGGGGATTCGAACCGCCGACCTTCTGATCGGCAAGTCCTAGGCTCTGTGGTTTAACCCACAGCGCCACCCGGTCCCTAGCATTTACTTTTTACATCTAGCCAAATATTTGCTTTAGTGGCTAGCAGTAATTCCCTGGGCTCTAAAGCAGAAGTCTTCCCCAGAACTGCCACTGGAATTGAATCTGGAACCTTTTCTCTGCAAAGCCATGTGCCCTGCTATCGACCTGTGACTTTTGCAGGGGCTCCTCTGGCACTGGGCCCAAGCGATCTGGAAGCTGGCAGGAGAGGGTGGAGAAAAATACTGAATGCAGCCTACACAGAACCCACAATAAATCAGATGAAAATGGTATGCTACTTCAACTTTATTAACTCGCATTTGGATTTTTTTGTGTGTGCACTAAACATCTGGCAAAGTGTTGCTTTAAGCACAAACATTTGGCGCATCTCTTTACACAGCTTTGAGAAGAAAAAAATCCCTTGAGTTCATTACTATAATATACCATTCATCAAAATTAGTCTACAACTTGTTTACAGACAGCAGCTTACTTTCCAAGTCTCAGTCATGAGAACTAGACATTTGCTCCATTATTGTTGTTGTCATAATTTAATGGATACACTGTGAGGACTCCCGACCCTAGAAACCAGATTCTCTCTTTGTGGCATAACACACAAACCAAGATTCCTGTCCATAGCTTTGCTTAGTCTTATTTGGATGTATTTAAGATGAAGCCAGCTAAGAGTCACTGGGTACTTTTTCACTGTTGGTTAAAGGGGGGGGCATAGCAGACATCACTGCAGATGACAAGGAAAAACAGAATTAATGCTCCAGTTCAGAAGATACCCTTTCAGGCTCCTTTCATACATTCGCTTGGTTCCCATGTTAAAATAAATGATGGCTTTAATGTGACTGAGCAATGCACTAGCACATGCTGTCAAAATTATGGGTGGATTACTCCTGCCTTGGCCTGCCTTCTTGTGTCATTCAAATCCAGTTCCATGGTTTCTTTCACCTAAATAAACACCATTAGTACGAACAAACCAGGGCTTCCACTTGTGGTTTTTGAAGAAACAAACCATAGCCCAGTTTTGAATGACATGACATGACAAGCCAGGCCAAGGCTTGATTCCCAGTAACATGGCTATGAGGAACAAAGCATTCACAATTCCACATTTTTTGTTCACATTTAAACATAGTTTATTTTAACTTAAGTTTAATGTGACATGCAAACCAGACCATTGCTTTAATAATCAAATTCAGTAAGTGGGCAAGGTGGCTTAAAAATCAAGACTGTTCATTTTGAAAGGGTATTGAGCTGTGGGAGAGATATATCTCAGTAGGGGGCAAAGGGAAGTATGATCCATGACCACAGTTTGAAATGTCCAGGTCTTGTTCTTGTCTCCTGCCAGTTGTTGTTTTTTTAAAAAAATGAATTGTCACTGAAAACAAAGGATTTCCCTCTACTCTCTGCAAGAATTGCTACAAGATGGATTCCATTCCTTTAACTCAGCTGGAATGATCAATGCAGGTTCAGAAACAGACCGACAATGCAAGACCTTTGTGCACAAATGCCTCTGCAAAAAATATTTGTATAAAGAGGTGTATGCATACAAAATGTACAACACAGGCAACAACAGAAGGGAACCCCCTTGTGCCAAAATGCAGATAAAGGACCCTCTTGGATGAGCACAAAGTGGAATAAAAATGGTATGAAGAATGCATCATGCTCAGAATGCAAAGTAACTCTACAACAAAAAGTTGTGGCACTTGACAATTGGCATATGAACTGCTGCCCACTCAGCTGGGGCCACAGCAGGTGAAACAAACAGCCTTTTCCCAATCCATCAGACATACACAATTGTATTTGCTTCAGAATATTGGATGTGCTCTCAGATGTAGGCTACCTCCTGAAACAACAACTCCTGAAAATGGCCCAAGCAGAAGTACAGCATGAAATATATTTGGCCCTGCTCTGTTCATCTGCACTGTCCTGCAGCCAAACACAAGACTCAGCAAGAGTCACCTGTACCCACTAAGGATTATGGATTGCAGAGAGAGAGCAATATATTCTCCCATGCTCAATTGCTCTTCCTTTTCCAGGAGTGGCTTTTTCCTTCAACACTAAAGAAGCCTCGGTTTGAACCACCTCCCAACATGCCCAGCTTCCCTGGATGCCAGGAAGCTTCCTGCCAGAGGGAAAGGAGCAGCTAGCCATCTTTATTCAGTGTAAACTTAAGCTACATTAAAAAGGCAAGAGGTGTCAACCTCTTTGGAGCCACCCCACAGCCAAGTCAGCACAAGCAAGATTCGCCTTAGCCATTCCAGTGGAGTGCAAGAAAAAGCGAGAGCCACACAGTATCCAGACAGAACGCCGATAAAAGGCCAAGGCTTGATTCACTCCCAAAATTTCAGTAGCACATGAATATGAAATAACCCCAGTTTGTTAGCACCACTCTTTCCGACCCTCAACAAAATGAGGGTGTTAAATTCATTTTGTAGGTTTATAAGTGCACCATTGCTTGGTGGGGGGCAGGGGGGAAATGCACTTGGTTTAATATAAGAAATGGCGTATTTACAACTCATTAAAAAGAGAATAATTTACATGGCATTCAGTCACTTGAAAGCTTTAGGAAGAGGCATGCCCAGGTTCTGGAGTCCAGTGCGGTCCAAGGAGGCAGAAAAGTGCTTTGGCTTCTGTTTGACGGCTTTGTGTGCAATTGTTTCTACGTGGGACGGCCTTGGCCAAAGCGACTTTTAATCCTAGATTTAAGAGAAATACATGGGGTTTTTTACACAGAGAGAGAGAGAGACAAAAGGTGCCATTGAAAGTTATTCACAGCAATGATTGTAACCGGCTCAGTGGTCGTTAATTGCCAATTATAGAACAGTTCATTTGATACAGGCATAGGCAAACTCGGCCCTCCAGATGTAATAATGTAGTAATGTAATAATGGAGGGATACAATCTATTTCAAAGAAACAGACCAGACAAGAAAGGAGGAGGAGTGGCGTTATATGTCAGGCATGTGTATACCTGTGAAGAGATCCAAGATTTAGAACCTCAAAGCCAAAGTGAGAGCATTTGGGTGAAAATTAAGGGAGAGAAGAATAACAGTGACCTCATTGTGGGAGTTTACTATAGATCCCCAAGCCAAACGGAGGGCATAGATGATGCCTTCCTGGAACAGATGGCCAAGCATGCAAAAGGAAGGGAGATAGTAGTAATGGGGGACTTCAATTACCCTGATATTTGTTGGATGTCAAACTCAGCCAAGAGCATAAGGTCAAACAGATTCCTCACTGCCCTTGCAGACAACTTCATTGTCCAGAAAGTGGGAGAAGCAACAAGAGGAACAGCCATTTTAGATCTGGTCCTAACCAATGTTGATGACCTGGTTAGTGGGGTAGAAGTGGAAGGATCATTAGGCGCGAGTGATCATGCTCTTCTGAAGTTTACTATACAGCGGAAAGGAGCAGCCAAGCATACTAGGACTCAATTTCTCGACTTTAAGAAAGCCGACTTCATAAAGCTTAGGGAAGTGCTGGGTGAGATCCCATGGACAGTAATACTAAAAGGAAAGGGAGTTCAAGATGGCTGGGAGTTTGTTAAGAGGGAGATAGTAAAAGCACAACTTCAGGCAATACCAATGAGACGGAAACATGGAAGGTGCCTAAAGAAGCCAGGGTGGCTATCTAAAGAACTTTTAACTGAGTTAAGATTAAAAAAGGATGTGTACAAAAAATGGAAAAGGGGGGAAACCACTAAAGAGGAATTCAAACAAATAGCCAGCACGTGTAGACACAAAGTCAGAAAAGCTAAAGCACAAAATGAACTCAGGCTTGCTAGAGAGGTTAAAAGCAACAAAAAAGGCTTTTATGGGTATGTTCGTAGCAAAAGGAAGAACAAAGAAACCGTGGGGTCACTCAGAGGAGAAGATGGTGAAATGCAAACAGGGGACACAGAAAGGGCTGAACTCCTCAATGCTTTCTTTGCCTCAGTCTTCTCCGATAAAGAAAACAATGCCCGACCTGAAGAATTTGGAGCAAATGATTCAGCAGAGGAAACACAACCCAGAATAACTAAGGAGATAGTACAAGAATACTTGGCTAGTCTAGATGTATTCAAGTCTCCAGGGCCAGATGAACTGCATCCAAGAGTATTAAAAGAACTGGCAGATGTGATTTCAGAACCACTGGCAGTCATCTTTGAGAATTCCTGGAGAACAGGCGAAGTCCCGGCAGACTGGAGGAGGGCAAATGTTGTCCCTATTTTCAAAAAGGGGAAAAGAGAGGACCCAAATAATTACCGCCCAGTCAGTCTGACATCAATACCAGGGAAGATTCTGGAGCAGATCATTAAGCAAACAGTCTGTGAGCACCTAGAAAGGAATGCTGTGATCACCAATAGTCAGCATGGATTTCTGAAAAATAAGTCATGTCAGACTAACCTGATCTCGTTTTTTGACAGAATTACAAGCCTGGTAGATGAAGGGAACGCAGTGGATGTAGTCTACCTTGATTTCAGCAAGGCATTTGACAAGGTGCCCCATGATATTCTTGTAAAGAAGCTGGTAAAATGCGGTCTTGACTATGCTACCACTCAGTGGATTTGTAACTGGCTGACTGACCGAACCCAAAGGGTGTTCATCAATGGTTCCTCTTCATCCTGGAGAAGAGTGACTAGTGGGGTGCCACAGGGTTCTGTCTTGGGCCCGGTCTTATTCAACATCTTTATCAACGACTTGGATGATGGACTCAAGGGCATCCTGATCAAATTTGCAGATGACACCAAACTGGGAGGGGTGACTAACACCCCAGAGGACAGGATCACACTTCAAAACGACCTTGACAGATTAGAGAACTGGGCCAAAACAAACAAGATGAATTTTAACAGGGAGAAATGTAAAGTATTGCACTTGGGCAAAAAAATGAGAGGCACAAATACAAGATGGGGGACACCTGGCTTGAGAGCAGTACATGTGAAAAGGATCTAGGAGTCTTGGTTGACCACAAACTTGACATGAGCCAACAATGTGACGCGGCAGCTAAAAAAGCCAATGCAATTCTGGGCCTCATCAATAGGAGTATAGCATCTAGATCAAGGGAAGTAATAGTGCCACTGTATTCTGCTCTGGTCAGACCTCACCTGGAGTACTGTGTCCAGTTCTGGGCACCACAGTTCAAGAAGGACACTGACAAACTGGAACGTGTCCAGAGGAGGGCAACCAAAATGGTCAAAGGCCTGGAAACGATGCCTTATGAGGAACGGCTAAGGGAGCTGGGCATGTTTAGCCTGGAGAAGAGGAGGTTACGGGGTGATATGATAGCCATGTACAAATATATAAAAGGATGTCACATAGAGGAGGGAGAAAGGCTGTTTTCTGCTGCTCCAGAGAAGCGGACACGGAGCAATGGATCCAAACTACAAGAAAGAAGATTCCACCTAAACATTAGGAAGAACTTCCTGACAGTAAGAGCTGTTCGACAGTGGAATTTGCTGCCAAGGAGTGTGGTGGAGTCTCCTTCTTTGGAGGTCTTTAAGCAGAGGCTTGACAACCATATGTCAGGAGTGCTCTGATGGTGTTTCCTGCTTGGCAGGGGGTTGGACTCGATGGCCCTTGTGGTCTCTTCCAACTCTATGATTCTATGATTCTATGATTCTATGAGATGTTCTGGGACTACAACTCCCATCATCCCTAGCTAACAGGACCAGTGGTCAGGGATGATGGGAACTGTAGTCTCAAAACATCTGGAGGGCCGAGTTTGCCTATGCCTGGTTTGATACTTTAGTGACTTCTGGTCATCTGCACATTGTCATTAGTGATTCAGTATTAATATTAACTAGACTAGAACATTATAACACCAGCACCAGAAAAATAAAAATAACTGCCAGTTAGGGTGGTGTGCTTTTTAAGTTTAGAACTGACCAAAGCAAGCAAGTAATGCATAATTAGCATAAGGAATGTATTGGTACTAAGAGAACCCCCAAGTAAAATCCCTAAATCAGGTACAGGTCTTGCAAATTAAATTAAGTCGCAGCAGCAGTTCACAGAACATTCTGGGAGATATTGTGTCAGAGTGGAGATACCCTAATTGTAGGGGGAAGTCTTGCTTGCCATTTCATAAAAAGGATTTGGCAGAGGAACATTTTGATAAGATTTTGTCAAGACGCCTTGCTTCTCTCGTCTTTTCCTCCCCATCCCATTTGAATTAAAGGGTTTACCTCATATTTTTTTCTGGGACGTTCTGGCGGGTGTTGACCTGTGCCGCTGCCCTGATCTGAGCTTCAAGTCTTGCATAAATTCCAGCTGCAGACTGAAAGTCGCAATAGACAAATCAAGAAAGTGTTAACCAAATTGCGCTTTATTTTTTAATGCATGTACCAAAAGGCAAGTTAGGAGGTAGAGTCTTGCTAACCAAGGGTGACATGGGATAAAGTTCCCACCAGCACCAACCCCAGACTCACTTCTTTGTTCTCTTTTGATTTTGTCCGGTCAAGCTCCCCCAGCCTCATTTTTATTAGGTGTCCGGTTATTTCGACCATCCTCCGCTGATCTGCAAGCAACATGAAATAGCAACAGAGGATCAGAAAGGGCTTTTCTTGTGCCGTGCCGACACCACTGTTGCAAAGCAAGAGGTACAATTGCCTCTGCCAATCACGCTTGCAAAGATGTCACTCCTACATCTACCTTTGTATCAGTTTAACAATCATGCCCCTCCCTAATAATACTGGGAAATGCAGACTGGTAAGGTGCTGGGGTTTTGCTGCTGGGAGATCCTCCCTGCCCCAACACTACAAAGCTGCAATTTCCTGGTGCCATAGAGCAGTTTGTGTGTTTGTTGTGCATATGCTACATACACAAGGGGCCCTTCATTCCAAAATTTCAGAAGTTCCTCATTTAGCAAGTTCTTCTGTTAAGGTGGGTGAAGTGACATGACCTGGGAAGCTTCCTTTCATAGGAGCTCATTCTGTGCACGTCAGAGAAAGCACAAGAGGCAGTTCAGTTCAGCTTGTCAAGTTTATATCCCTAGTTACTTTTTATTATGAGGCCTATAGGGCTCCATTGGCATTAGAAAAGGAAGTACAGTGGTGTGGTTAAATACGATATTGGGGCCCCGCTAATTGATTTATTGGTCCTCAATTAGCTATTTATGGCAGCCCGGTCCGGCGCGCTTCCCTCAGCTGCGCCACTCAGCTCCGTCGTCCGGTAGCTCCAGTCACACCTTAGCAGAGATAAACACAGCGGTGATAAACTGTCACGTCCTTTTCCTAGCTTCCAGACAAACACACAGAGAGTCCAGGTTTGTCTATTTACAGCTCTTTATTCCGATATTCCCCCAGGAATCTCCTGGGCTCCTTTCAGCCATTACCGGCTACGTCTTTCTCCCTCAAAGACCAGAGGGGAACAGAACAGAAACCACTCCCAGGCTCCTCCCAGCTTCCACAGCTGACGTCAGAATGTTGAGGCACCATGGGAACAACTTAACCAGTTAAGTTCCAACTCCCAACACCCCCTCTGCATCACATTCTGACAAGACCCCTTTGAGTTCAACACCTTCCCCTTTGCCTTGTGCCCCTTCCCGGCATCTTTCCCAGGCACCTGTTGAACCCCTTCAACACTCCCAGAATCACACTGTGCGACACTTTTCCACGCACCTGTGACCTGATACCCTACTGACCCATTAGGGCCAGCAGTTGTGTCTTCTCCGTCAGACTCTTCCCCCTCTGACTTGACAACCCTTCCGTGAGCTTTCTCCATTACCGGAGATGAAGCCTCACACCTGGACACTCCTTTCACAACTCTTGGAGATGCCCAAACCTGCCCTGAACCCTGACCCTGGACTTGGTCCCCATCACCGGGTTTTGAACCCTGATTCTGGACCTGATCCCCGTCACCGGGCTCAGCAACAGCCTCCCTTCTCCCTCGAGAAGACTTTGCACCCGTCACCTAGTGACGTATTTCCTTTTCCTTGAAAAATTCCTCCAGAGCAGACCCAGTAAACTGTGACCCTCGGTCGCTCTTGAACCCTTGCACCTTGGTGGAGAACCTTAGTTCTACCTCCGCAACCCAATCCTGGATCAGTTGCGCCGCCTCTCCCTGTGGTTTGAGAGAGAGACACCAGCCAACCTGGCTGTGGTCATCTGTCAGCGATGGCACATACCTGGCCCCACCCAGACTCTCACACCTCATGGGTCCTGACAGATCTGTGTGAACAAGCTCAAAAGCTTCCTTGGCTACCCTCCCAAACCCGGGAAAACCAAGTACCTTTGCACCTTTGCATGCCCTGCACCCTTGGGACCTCCCACATTTCCGGAGTTTGTACCCTTTTGTGCACCTGTGCAACTTTTGCACATCTTTGGGAACCTTAGCACACTGCACCTGTGCTTTTTCCAGCATTCCCACCACCCTCCATAGGTGACTCCAGAACAAAGAAATTATTCTTGCTCTTCGCCATGTTGACCCGTTGTCGCCCCCCTCTGAAAATGGAACAGGTGTCATTTTCAAAGCACATTTTGGAACCCCTGCTTCGTTAGAGCAGATACAGATAACCGACAACTATTCAGTCCCGGCACAACGTAGACCTCTTGCTCCTCCTGTAAAGGACAGAAAAAACACGTTAGCCACACCACACCACAGACTGCTTTTTGTGCTCCGTCTGCGAATAAACCAATTGTTCCTGTTGAAAACAGCCCTGCAGTTCCGCACTTTGCCTATCAGGTGCTGCCTGATAGCAGAAACCAAAACACCCAGCGTGTCATCGTGTCCTGGCTGGTGTTGTTCTTCACAGTTGCCATAGAAGCAGTGATAAGAAACAACCCTCCCCAGTGTCTGAGACACGTCTTTCCCTTGCGTTCCCACGCTGGCGTCCTTGGGACCTTCCTGCCCAGCTGTCTCCGCTCTCCATGGGCAGCAGCGTCGCAAGCGTCCCGCATTACACGTGTAGCAATGACGAACTCCAGTGGAAAAACACTGCTCCGGGGCTCCTCCCAGCTGGCCTCCTTCTCCTTCTTCCGGAAAAGCACTCCTTGCCAGCTTCGCCCCCTCTGAACCTCCACTTCATTCCAGCACGTACAGTGGAAAACTTTAAACGTGCCTTTGGAAACCTTCCGCCCCCCCGACCTGCTCAGCAGCACTCCTTGTGGCTAAAGCATCAGGGACAGGGGCTCCAGCCATCTCTAGGCTTTTGTATTCCTTCTCCAGGGCTCTGGTCTTTTGCTGAAGCTTCACAGCAAACACAGCACGTTTCCAAGCAGCCCTTTTAGACTCTGCAAACCTGGCAGCAACGGCAGCAGTACCAATAGTCCCTTTGCCCCCCTCTGGGGCCCACAGCCTTTCCCAGCTGTGCACTGGCTCTCACGAAGGTGATCAGCGCCATCTTGTCTTTCTGTCCTGAAGCAGCCATCTCCCAGCCCTTGCTTCCGCCTCCAGCCTCATAAACACCCTGGAGCGCTGAACGGCCTCTGGCTTCCTGGCACCCAGAACAGTAGACTTCAGATCAGCAGCCAGGTTGCCCAACTTCTTAAAGTGAGCCTCCCACAGTCCACCAAGACCTGGCAACCTGCCATCCTCTTCCGTTCTCCCAAGGGGCCCCAAGCTGTACTTACAGACCAGTTTCAGCTCCCCTGGCTCTCCCTTCCGTGGAGAAACGATTCCCTGCTGTTCTCAGCTCCTGGCTCCACAGCAAACCTCTGCGTTTTTCAGCCAGCTGCTTTCAAACTCCGCAGCTGCTCCTTTGCCTCTTAACACCAGGCAAAAAGTCCTTCCGCCTCCTGCCGGCCCCCTGCTCGACACCGCAGACTTCAAAGCTCCCGGCAGTATCTTCCGTGACAGTTTTACAAGCGATGATTTATGGATCCATAACCTGTGGTTAAATACGATATTGGGGCCCCGCTAATTGATTTATTGGTCCTCAATTAGCTATTTATGGCAGCCCGGTCCGGCGCGCTTCCCTCAGCTGCGCCACTCAGCTCCGTCGTCCGGTAGCTCCAGTCACACCTTAGCAGAGATAAACACAGCGGTGATAAACTGTCACGTCCTTTTCCTAGCTTCCAGACAAACACACAGAGAGTCCAGGTTTGTCTATTTACAGCTCTTTATTCCGATATTCCCCCAGGAATCTCCTGGGCTCCTTTCAGCCATTACCGGCTACGTCTTTCTCCCTCAAAGACCAGAGGGAACAGAACAGAAACCACTCCCAGGCTCCTCCCAGCTTCCACAGCTGACGTCAGAATGTTGAGGCACCATGGGAACAACTTAACCAGTTAAGTTCCAACTCCCAACAAGTGGTACCTCTGGTTGCGAACGGGATCCATTCCAGAGGCCCGTTTGCAACATGAAAAGAGCACAACCTGAAGCGCCGTATCTGCGCAGGTGCGCAGCGCAATTTGGTGCTTGTCCGTATACGTGAAGCGCAATTTAGCACTTCTGCGCATGCATGAGCGGCGAAACCTGGAAATAACCCTTTCCAGTACTTCTGGGTCACCGCGGGACGTAACCTGAAAGAACGTAACATGAAGCAAACGTAACATGAGGTATGACTGTACAGGCACAATTTCTCTCTCATGGAACCCTGCCATATCCATATTCACGCAGCTGTGGAATGAAGCTTTTATTTATTTCCTGTTGCTACACCACGTAAGTCAGGCAAATGTTTTGGAAAATGTATATCTTACCTTCCTCTCTCTGAGCATCCTGGTTGAATCTAAGTGATCTGGATGCGTCCCACTTATTCTGCTGCATGCTGACACTAATTAAACAGCAGAGAAGCCATGAGAAACAAAAACCAAAGCAATCAGCACAATTTTGTTCAAAAGTCAGGCACCGTTCATAGGGTCACAATTGCTTACTGCTCTCACTTGAAACCACCTCTTGCTTTCTGCAGGGACCTCTGGAATGCAGGGAAAAGTCGTTCATTCAGTCGTCATGCCAAAACCATGGCTTGGCACGCCAGAAATAAGCCTTGTGCTCACATACTCCTCCTCCTCCTCACATGTTCAGTTAGTTTGCCATTGCATCCAAGCCAGAAATGCAAACTACTGTTTGAAAGCTGGCTTGTAGTTGGTTTGGAGATGATACACCAGCCACATTTTGTCTGTTCCGGTATAGACTATCTGGGCATTCAAAATCCTTGTGTGCTGTTCCAAACTGCATGGGGAGCCTCCATAGGTAGAAGGGCTCTCTCCCACTTTCACCCTCAAACGCATGGGGAGCTCTAAACAGTGTAAAAGTGATGCTTGGGTGTGCAGGGCTTGGCAATGAATCCTTGTTCACTGCCGCATGTTTGTTTTCACCTAAGGAGACTGAATGCCCAAACAGGACTTAGGTTTTCTCTTGAAAAAGGAATAAACTAACTGAGAATGTGAAGGAAAGAAGAAGCACATGAGTAAAAGTCTCATACCTGTAGCACAAGAACTATGCTTTGGCATTCTGTGCGAACCAGTCCAATGAGTGGGGATTATCTTTTCCTAAAAGCATTCTTTATCATTGCTGAATTGACTGCACTGGATTCCCGTTTAATCTTAAGGAGAATGAAGAACGAACCTAAACTGCATCTGGTGTCCAGAGGTACGCCAGCTCTGAACATGAAGGCTCAGCTTAACCATCATAGTTAATAGCCACTGAGACACTTACACTTCATGGATTTGCCTAAGCATTCTAATTGCATTTCCTTTAAAAATCAGCCGAAATATTAGTTGAACGCATGATAGATAAAGCAAGGATATGTACAATTTTATAATATGCAGAGAACAATATGTGCAAAGAAATCAGAGAGGGGAGCTGAGGGAAGTATTGGAGGGGGGGAGGGCGGAAATAATGTGATTGATTATGTGGACTGATATTTTGTTATGCTGAAATTGTTTAATAAAAATATTTTTTTAAAAATCAGCCGAAATACTTACATAAAAGGAGATGCATCTCTGGAATTAGTCTGTCGAAAGAAAGGCAGAATAAAGACTGTATGCTTAAATTCCTTAGATCAGTGTTACTTCTTTAGAATTTCAAGCTGCCAAACTGAATAGGATTCTACTCAAGACACAGTTGTTCACAGCAAAAATAAAAGCATTTTTAAAAGATAATGTTTTAAAGTCAAATTTAGCATATTGCAACAGATTCTGGAGGCAGATAGATATATTTGAGTAGGCAGAGCAATCCTAAAGGTGGCTAGAGAGGCCACTAGAAGCAGACTAAGTGCTAAACCATTGACATAACAGTACTTATTCACCTGAAAGAGTCCTCAATATACAAGTGGAAAGCTCCACAGGAACAGATATACTGCCAGCTGTCTTCTGACAGCAGCCGTTACTTCCCCTGTCCCTGGACCCACAGCAAGCTGACAAGACTTTGGATGCAGCAGAGCAACCACCATGCAATCTCCCTACCTCACCACAGGATTACAGCCTGAGAAACAGTGCAATTCTATCCATGTCTACTCAGAAGGAAGTCCCACTGAGTTCAGTGGAGATCATCCCCAGGTGTACACCGATAAAAGATTTCAGCAACTCTCACTGGATGCAGCTTGATCTTCAGGACCAGGTTAAAAAACTAAATCAAAGTGAAGTTCATGCTGTCCTCAGTAAAGTAACAAAGGTATAAGATGAATCCACAGAGAAATAGCCAGACTTATGTCCTCGCAAAGGTTGCATAATAGTTGATAAGATCTCTCAGGATTTACCTTCTCCAGATTCTTTTCCTTCTTTTGAACACTGGGTGAAGACACTTGTTTCTTTGGATGTCTGTGGGATTTCTTTGACCGCTCTTTTCTTCCTGCTAATAATATGCGCAAGTCAATTATAAGTCGCCCCTCCTATTTATCACATTCAAAGAAAACAGCCAATTGATGCAATTCTGAAATCTCTCTCTCTCTTCATGGCTGATCTATAGAGGAAATATGAGCAGTACTGCAAAGTGTGACAGATTTGTCTCCCTGTGCAGTGACTTTCATCATCAAATAAAATAGCAAACACCAGTTAATTTATCACTTTTGCATTATCTATATATTGCTTCTTGCCAAAACAAGCTTCTAAGCAGTTTACAAGTATAAAAAACAATTACGCAAGCATTAAATATAAACATCCATGATTAAAACATGCAATGAAACAATACCATTAAAACATCACAGCAAAACTAGAAGACTCTGGTTGTGAGGTCAAGGGAGTATCTGTTAGGGTGTGAAACCTAAGACGCTGGCAAGTTAGCAATGTCATGTGACTTTAAGTAGTCAAGCTCGTTAAGTTGTTAAGTTGCTCAGTATATAAAGAGTGTTTGTTTTCTCTGCCTGTGTGGGGCGTGAAGCAAAAATGTCTGAAAGCTCCGGAGGTGTTTCTGTTATCTTTCTGCAATAAACCTGTCTTTGGAAAGACAGGCTTCCCTGTGTCGTTATTTCCTTGCTGCTGAGACTTTGAAGCTTGTACTGCAACAAGAATCTCTGCACTGGACTTAATTAATGCTCTGCAAAGAGAACTGTTGCTGGTGGCGCAGCGGAAGCGTTTACTGGACCAGTACACAGACTCTCTTAGTATCACTGTAAACAGGTGCATCTTCCATAGCCAGTGGTATGCCAGTACAGATGGGGCTTCTTGCGTTTCAGTAGTGAGTTCATTTCCTAACAGCCATGCCACCAGTGAAGAAGCACATCACCAAAAGCCAATAATCATTAGTTATTCTATTTAACAGATTAACTTCTTCACAGCCAAAAGCTACTGAAGCAGTGAGAAATGAGATAAAATACAAAAGACTGAAAACAACAAAACCATTTCTGCAATTGGTTTTACAATTCATATTTCGTAAAATGGCTTCTCTAATTTCACTCGGTAACCAGAGGACTGGAGCGGCAGTACTCTATGCAAGATTAGGAAGTGGTAAGAGCCACTGTGTTCCCTTTGCTGATCTTAAAGTCCTTAATGAATTTATTCCACCCCCACCGCATACTTATAATTCCACTTCAAACCCACAATTCCATAACATTCCACAATTTAGTTTGTTTGTTGTTTTTAAAAACCTTCCTGGCCAGTACACCAAAATGCTTAAAAGGTGAAATAGGTGGGCCAGTACTACACTTAAGAGTGCATGGATTACATCCTTTAAAGGAAGAAGAAGAAGAAGAAAAGGAAGAGGAGGAGGAGGAGGAAAAGGAGGAGGAGTCTGGATTTGATATCCCGCTTTATCACTACCCTAAGGAGTCTCAAAGCGGCTAACTTTCTCCTTTTCCTTCCTTCCCCACAACAAACACTCTGTGAGGTGAGTGAGGCTGAGAGACTTCCGAGAAGTGTGACTAGCCCAAGGTCACCCAGCAGCTGCATGTGGAGGAGGAGTGGACCTGCATCACACATAGATTTTAAATTACAATACTCGCTTAATTTTTAATTTAGTATTGTAATTAAAAATGATAGAGCTACTTGTGACAAGGTTTGTTTTTCCAACAGGCAACCTTCTCTCTCTCTCCCTCTCTCTCTCTCTCACACACACACATGGGGGAGGAGAAGAATCCATAACTGCTAGCAGAGAACCCCTGCAAGGTCACAGGCAGGGAATATATACCTGGTTTCTTGTATACTTCTTCCTCATCGCCTACTTCATCCTCTGTGACCTCAGAGCCAGTGGTGTATTCATCATCTTCTGAAAGCAACAACTGTTGTTTCTATTGTCAAGGAAAAAGCATAACAACTATCACTTTTTCTCTCCAAAAGACCACAGGTTCCCCCTGCTCTGCAAACCAGTAAAAAAATTAAGGCCTGACAGGTAAGCAAGAATGACAGCTGACATCCTCTAACTGCTTTTGCTGAAGAGCCTTCGTCTCCTCCTGATCTGTAAAGGTAGAGACCAAAACAGACTACCCTACCTTACTCCAAAAAAGTTTAACTAGAAACAACTTCAGTCTCAAATTTTGCAATACTCAATTACCGGTATGTTACATCACGGCTTCTAGGCCAAATTTGAGTCAAAACTCAAACAACTGTGCTAGGAATCAGTGCTGCAGGCTGATAAGACCATTTATGGTTTTTGAAAAAGAGATGCATTTAAATAGGTATCCCACCCCAATGCATTTTAATTGCCTTTTTCTTCTTTTTAATGATCACGCTGCTCGGTGGTTTAAACATGACAGCTAGTGCAGCACATACAGAATATTTAAAACACAAAAAGAACCAGCACATAGAATAGGAATAACTCGGGCAAACATACCAGCTGGAGAGTCCAGTTTTTCAGAGAAAGGAACTAGAGAAGGAAGGGGGGGAAAGGAAAATTAAAACTGGCAGTGGTAGGGTTACCGGCAGCACCTTTCATGCAACCTATTTGTGCATGAAAGGACACTCCAAAACATCTTTCAGATAAGAACGGTCCTCCCTCTGTGTGTATTTTCCAACTAGCGCCCATGTGACCGACTAATGAACGCTTGCATTCTAACTCAGGTGCTTTCCCCTCCATTAAGATAACAGTATTTCCTATTTATATTCATTCCTCCATGGACACTATTTCAAAACACTACTCTGAAAGGATTCCACATAGATTCCACACAATGTTCCATTCCATAATATGGACACATGGGTAACAAGCATGTGAAGGAGTCTCTGCAGCATGCCGCCCCAGCCCCTTGTAAGATTCCCTGGATCAATCCCAGTTCACACCCACTTAGAGGGACCCCTTCAGATGGATGCAAATTGCGCATCAGCTGCAGAGCACAGCCAGTGCAGTTAACATATGAGAGTGCTGGAGGTGAAATAGTTAAACAGGTTACCCAATCAGAACCCAGGGGGGTGGAGTCAGAGGGACTATAAAACCAGCTCTGGGAGGGGCAAAGGGAGGAGTTTGTTGGGAGTTGGGTGGTTGGATGGAGTGGGAGTGAATTGGGATAGAGTCTGTGGATGGGTTGAGTTAGTATAGCGAAATAAGCTGAGTCAGGAACAGTTAGGAGCTAGGAAGACAAGTAAATATCTGAGAGGTGGTTTAGTGAGTGAGAGCAGGTAGCGGAAGTTATAGGTCTGGATAGGCACCCCATGATTGTAATTGACCGATACCGTTTAAGAAACCCCACACTTGTTAAACTGCAATAAATAAACAGAAGTTTATGTTCCAATTTAAGCCTGACTGGACTCAGTATTGTACCAGGTAAGGCCTGGTTGGTGGCAGCGAGAAATAAAGTGGTAGCACAGGGATCAATAGATGGTGAAACGTCTGGGGACCCTGTGTTATTGCCACAAATACATCTACACCTAATGACTGGAGCTTCATCCTAGTATATTCAAAGTTACTGAGTTATTGAGCCAGACTATAGTCAAGCAATATGAACAATGTGGAAAGGAAAAGCAGAGGGACGTGGGGAAGGATACTCACGGCATTAATTTCTCCTGTTCTGGGGCCCCACGGTGCATTTGGCTCCAATAGCACATCACATTCAATACTCTTCTCGTCATTCAGTCCAATTCCAGAATCACTTGAAAAAATAAGTATTGAGGAATATTATGGACTGGGTTGTTACTGATTCTAAAGAAGTCTACCTGAATGGTGGGGTGCTTGCCCAGGAAAGATGAAGACATACCTCTTTTCTTACCTGTTTTGGTCTTTTTCAAAAGGCACAACAATCACATTTCTGTGCTGAGTCAGATCGTTCAGTATTTTAGCAGTCTGGTAGGGAACAGCATCCACACCTTCTCCTCCAGCAGGCAAGCCAATCACATGGTCCCTTACTTTGCATCCCTTCCATTAAAGAGAGAGAGAGGGGGGGGGGGTTAGCTAAGGTACTTCCTTAACACAGACATAATTGCAAATCATGGATAGTGCTGGCCATGGTTTGAAAGATTGCTTCAAATCAGGGTTTCACATTCTAATTTGTGGCCAATCCTAGTTTGGATATTAGGATTCAACGCCTAACCATGATGAAGAATTAGATATGCTCATGGATAGAGTACAGTTAGCTTGCATGTTAGCTAGATAACACATCGTTTTAAATAATGACTCCAGCTCAGGCAATTATACAGTGGGCCTTAACGCACCTGGCCAGGGGGTGGCAGGAATCACCCCATACAGTGGTGCCTCGCAAGACGAAAAGAATCCGTTCCGCGATTCTCCTCGTCTAGTGGTTTTTTCGTCTTGCGAAGCAAGCCCACTGACAGCTTAGCGGATTAGCGCTACAGCGGTCTAGCGGCTTTTCGCGATCAGCTGTTAAGCGGGTTATCAGCGGAACAGCTGATAGGCGGCTTGGCGGCTTAGGAAAAGGGGGGGGAGCGGGGAAAAAACCCGCGGGGACGCGCAAGATTTTTTCGTCTTGCGAAGCAACCCCATAGGGAAATTCGTTTTGCGAAGCGCCTCCAAAACGGAAAACCCTTTCGTCTAGCGGGTTTTCCGTCTTGCGAGGCGTTCGTCTTGCGGGGCACCACTGTACTTTTGTTGTGTATAAAACACGGTTCAAGAGAAGGTGGCTTGTGGAAGGAGCAAAAAAGGTTTTAAAGAGTCTTTCCCCAAAATACATACTTTTGGAAGAGGAGCAGGATCAAATCTCAGAACCTTCTGGTTACAGCAGGGATACACTCCAGTACCATTGGAACCAATAGCACCTACCACGCCAGGGTAGACAACTGGCTGAGGGTGGTATTGGCAATGGGAGAATTCGGTACACAGGAAAGTCTGCAAGGGAGATGCAACAACGACAACAAAATCACTACTCTCAAGATCAAATATTCCCAAGTTTAAGGTGCAGAAAGGGTTTACAGCAGAACACAGAGGTATCTTCTAACAAATGGCTGTATACTAGGATGTACAAGCTAGCTGATGTTGCTCTTATTCTTTAAAACAGCACTGATTAAATTAAGTGCTGGGTGGCCCATTCTCAAAAGACTTGACCAAATTAGTTCAGCACAAACTATTTATCCCTTATTCATCCTCAATGTACAAAAACATGGGAAGGAATTCAATGTACGGCTATGGCAATTAGTCCATCAGTGAAGCTTTGCACTCTTAACTTATAAGAACTATCTGGAAGATGCAGGGTGTGTTGGTCTCAGAGTTCCAGTGTTTTAGGAAGTTACAGGGGCCTACCAGGGAAACAACCAAGCTGCTTTGATCTTGGAGTAGCATAAGAAAACTGGCAGCTAGTGAGTTGTGTGCAGGTTGGCCATGAAGTACAGGGTGCACTGGACTGGCTAAGAGCCTTTCTTTGTTTAAAAAAAATAAATTGCTTTGTTGCATTCAAAGCCCCCTCCCATCTGTGCTCCAAGAGTGAGTTGGTGGCAACAACAATAACCTAGGACTTGCCGATCAGAAGGTTGGCGGTTCGAATCCCCACAACGGTGTGAGCTCCCGTTGCTCGGTCCCAGCTCCTGCCAACCTAGCAGTTCGAAAGCACACCAGTGCAAGTAGATAAATAGGTACTGCTCCGGTGGGAAGGTAAACGGCATTTCCGTGTGCTGCTCTGGTTTGCCAGAAGCGGCTTAGTCATGCTGGCCACATGACCTGGAAGCTGTACGCCGGCTCCCTCGGCCAATAAAGCGAGATGAGCACCGCAACCCCAGAGTCGGCCATGACTGGACCTAATGGTCAGGGGTCCCTTTACCTTTACCTAAGACTCAACTGGCAGCGGTTGGACAAGGAAAGGGGGTGAGAGGCTCTTCTGAGCATGCCCCCTTTGTCACAGGAGTGAGGGGGGGCATTATGCAGGCAGAAGCCTTTGTGCTGGCTTCCACTAGTTCAATAGTTGAACCTCACCCTTCGTTCTACAGAATTTGAAAACCTAACTTTGTAAGTTCCAGGAGAGACAGTCAGGGGTGTGCAGAGGTAACCGAAAACACTCACTTGATTACATCTTGAACAGATCAGCCAATTGATAGTTCCCCAAAGGCGCCAATATACATCTCGCCAAGATTTTAATTCTTCAAAAAGACTCAGCAAATACTCATGCACATCCCAAGATTTATCTCTGTATATACAAAGAGGAGCAAGCGGTCAGGCAGATAAAGTGAATAGAATACTTCTCAAGTCCCACTGGTAAGTTTTGTACCCTTTCCCCCTCAATGACAAAGTTAAATTGCACAGAAGAATTAAAACAAGGGCTACAACATTAACCAATTTCTTAGGGTGATGTTGCCTTTTTTTTTTAATTGCGGGGGGACACATCTTTTTAAATGCTCTCTTAGAGAATAGGCATTCCTTAACGGATTAAATGAGACACCATCCACGTCTCTGGCCACGACACACATGTGTGCATCATCTAAAATCAAAGAGTATATTTTTGCTCTTTAGAAAAAATTATGTCAATTTGATCAATTCAATAATTGACTAAGATTTCGTCAATCTGGTGACAGCCCTTGTTAAAACATACAGTGGTACCTCGGGTTACACACGCTTCAGGTTACATACGCTTCAGGTTACAGACTCTGCTAACCCAGAAATAGTGCTTCAGGTTAAGAACTTTGCTTCAGGATGAGAACAGAAATTGTGCTCTGGCAGCGCGGCGGCAGCAGGAGGACTCATTAGCTAAAGTGTTAAGAACGGTTTCAGGTTAAGTACGGACCTCCGGAACGAATTAAGTACTTAACCCGAGTTACCACTGTACTATATTTGCACTCAGCCATCACCACAGTGATGACAAAGAGGAGTGAAAGGGCGGCAGGCAGGCTACCTGTGCAGCCTTCCCATACTTTTGTCACTGCTGCTGCCACTGGCGGGAAGCAGAGGAACACAGGGGGAAAGACCACCCTGCAGCTGAGGAGCTTTCCCCAGCCCCCTTAACCCGCCATCGCGAGAAAGAAGTCTGGGAATGAAGGGGAGCAAGTCTTTCTAACCCTTCGTTCCTGACCCCTGTACTGCTCTAGTATTAATAACTGGATCGTGACACTTAACTATCATATACAGTACATATTTATTAGGGACGCGGGTGGCGCTGTGGGTAAAAGCCTCAGTGCCTAGGGCTTGCCGATCGAAAGGTCGGCGGTTCGAATCCCCGCGGCGGGGTGCGCTCCCGTTGTTCGGTCCCAGCGCCTGCCAACCTAGCAGTTCGAAAGCAGTCCCGGGTGCAAGTAGATAAATAGGGACCGCTTACTAGCGGGAAGGTAAACGGCGTTTCTGTGTGCGGCTCTGGCTCGCCAGAGCAGTGATGTCACGCTGGCCACGTGACCCGGAAGTGTCTCCGGACAGCGCTGGCCCCCGGCCTCTTGAGTGAGATGGGCGCACAACCCTAGAGTCTGTCAAGACTGGCCCGTACGGGCAGGGGTACCTTTACCTTTACAGTACATCTTTAAGGTCACCATTGCCCTAGTGGACTGACCTCTGTTCTGGGACTGAAGCCCTGGAAGAACAGAGAGCTCAGATTATAATTAAAAAGTCTGTTATGATGCAGATTAAATAGAATCTGTGAACACACCCTGTAAAAATGTTGTTACAATATGATTTATGAAGCACCTTATGTGTACATAGATAATGTTTCCATGCTGATCTACATTGATCTTTCCAGGAACACATGGGATCCTTCTTTCAGTGTCCTTAATTAGGAGTTTCTTACATAAGCAGCACCTATTTTTTTAAAAAAGAAAGTTATAGCATGAGAGATTTGCAATGAGAACAAGGAAGAATATGCTGAAATAAGATCAATAAGCGGACAGTTGTCTACCTGTACAGAGTTGCTGCGCTTCCCTGAGAATCTGGGTTCTGGTAATCTAGGTCAAACAATCTCTCTATCTTCTTACAGAAAAGTTTGCTGTCGGTAACAAAAAGACGCTCATTATAAAAATGAGTTATCTGCATATAAACGCAGACTTGCCATGGACAAATTCAATGAAATTTGGAATCCATTATTACAAATACTGTAATACTGTTAAGATCTGGTGAAGTACACAAACAACCTTGTAAAATATACAGTTTTGGGTTTCTCCCCACCTTTTTTTGTTTTCCCTTCTCAACAGGTTCTTTCTTTTTTTCCCCTCTTTGCGTCTCACCATGTCTGGTGCACATGTACTTTTTGAATTTTCAATAAAGATGTTTTTAAAAATAAAAATAAAAAATTAGTTAACTAAATGCCAATGCAGGTGGCTCCTGCTGGATCTCTGAAAGAAAACAATAGCACAAAATAGTGCCACGACTGAGAATTCCCTCCTCTGGGTCATGAGGTGCATTTCCAGTGGATGTGGCACAACCAGGAGGGCCTCCTCTGGTCATCAAAGTTGTTGGGCTGATCTATATCAGTGTTCCCCAACCTTGGGCCTCCAGCTGTTTTTGGACTACAATTCCCATCATCCTTGACCACTGGTCTTGCTAGCGAGGGATGATGGGAGTTGTAGTCCCAAAAAAGCTGGAGGCCCAAGGTTGGGGAACACTGATCTATATGGTGGAAGGGGCTCTTAGATGCCCTAAGCATCTCAGACCAGCTTTTATACAGCAACACCTTAAACTTGGCTTAGTAGCCAACTGACAACCAATGTAAACGCTTCAGTAGAGGTGTTCTACGTGCATGGAAAGCTGCCACACTTAGCAGTTTGCACCAGCTGCTGAACCAACCCCAAACGGCAGCCCAATGTAAACTACACTTCAAACATCTGGATAACTCTGCAGGAAGACGAAAAGAACGGCTAATTCTTACATTACGAGGCAGCAGGATTTTTAAAAAGTACCTCTTAAATTTATCTTTCTTGTCCTTCACCTCCTCTATTTCATTATGTGTGAAAAGATCCGCAATGCGCGTTAGGAGATTAGAATTGATGCAGTTCATATTGCACGGCGTGGCTACGATGGCACTCATATTCTTGTGGCAATAATTAATACATTTCTCCACCTAGGAAAACAGGAAGATAAAATATGGATGTAGCACACTCAATAGTGATAATGAAATATCTTAACACTGTACAGGCGACACCCCATTCATGTACAGGTGCCATTTCTGACTGCTCCATCCGTCAGTGGGAAGACTGCATGAATGTACATTTCGGCCACCTCACCCTCTTTTGGCGCCAAAAACAGTATGCATGTCAGCGGTCGCTGATCACATGTGAGTGGGGCATTGTCTGTATGTAGGAAGGTTTTTTGTGAGAGGAGCTCTAGAAACAGCTCCAATAGCTCAGAACCCCACATCTGTTATATACTCACTAAAGAATCCATCTTCAGAAACTCAGAGGAAATAAGAATCGAAATGACATTGCTTGGTTCTAAAGAAAGAAGGAAGAGAAGGAAGAGAAAAGCATTATTAGGATTAATTACAGTTAACCTTGCACATTGCTTGTAAAAGGAAACACTACAAGAGATTCTTTGCATCACAAAATCCACATTCCATTAAAGAGGAATGGGAAGAGAGTTTGGGAACTTGGTTCAGTCCCTTCTAAAGGAGGGAGATCTAATTACATAGCATGACTGGGCCTTGTAATTCTTCTGAAATGAGGCCCAAATAGCTGCCTCTCTCCTTTCCATTCCCACCACCCCCACCAGAAAGAATGTGTTAGCCTAAAACTAGCTATTCACATTTTGAAGGCAAAGCAAGCCAAATTAGATTAAGAAGCTGGAGAAAAATAATATTGTACCTAAAGCTGAAATGAAAAGTTAAGAGCCTGGATTCACATCTTTACAAATACGTTCCATAAAACTATGGCATTTGAGTATGAAGTTTCCAACTCGGTTAGGGTGGGTGTTCTCTTATTTGAAGGGAGGTTTGAGGGTTTTGATAGAAAAAGGAGTGCAAACACTCCAAACATCCAAAGCAAAAACCTCAGTTTCTCCAAAACTGCTGAGTTAAATTACAGGTAGGTAGCCGTGTTGGTCTGCCGTAGTCGAAACAAAATAAAAAAATTCCATCCCGTAGCACCTTAGAGACCAACTCAGTTTGTTATTGGTATGAGCTTTCATGTGCATGCACACTTCTTCAGAAGTGCATGAAGAAGTGTGCATGCACACAAAAGCTCATACCAAGAACAAACTGAGTTGGTCTCTAAGGTGCTACTGGAAGGAATTTTTTTATTTTGCTGAGTTAAATGTCATTCAGAGTTTGAAACATTCAACCTCAGACACATGCAAACTAGACACTATTCAAGAAGACCCTTTTCTAAAAAGAAAAAAGGGTCTGCTCCAAACACTTAGGGTTTAAGGTCAGGTTTGAAAGCAAAACAAGCATATGACTGAGGGCAACCAAACTGTTCCCCATACATGTGACACCTACTTCCCTTTAGCCTGTTCCCCCAGCTGATTTTTTTTCTAGCCAAGCTCACATCTGTTAGTGGACCACAGATGAGGAGTGTAGTATTTGCAAGGGACAGATGGAGGTAAGAGTAGCAGTTTAGCACCCCATCCCACCTGTGTGATCCTTTTGCTCTAAGAATTGCCCCCCTTTCCTCTTTGTGTGTGACTAGGGAAGATCCAGATCCAACCAAGCCAGTCTGCCAGCATCACATCCAATTTGGACCATAGGTTTCAACAGTCGCCACACAGAAAACAGGATAGAACTAACAATTGTTGGAACAAAATCATCTAAAGGAGTTCAAGTACAAACTACAAGAAAGAAGATTCCACCTAAACATTAGGAAGAACTTCCTGACAGTAAGAGCTGTTCGACAGTGGAATTTGTTGCCAAGGAGTGTGGTGGAGTCTCCTTCTTTGGAGGTCTTTAAGCAGAGGCTTGACAACCATATGTCAGGAGTGCTCTGATGGTGTTTCCTGCTTGGCAGGGGGTTGGACTCGATGGCCCTTGTGGTCTCTTCCAACTCTATGATTCTATGATTCTATGATTCTATGATTCTAAGTATGTGCAGCTCACAAGAGTGATCCAGAGTGAACTCTCAGTGTTTTAAAGAGAGAGGGGAGGAAGAGGTTGAATGTGCACTTAACTCTTGCTTTGATTACTTCTCTGGATCACACCAGAGTGATGACTAAAATTATTTCCCTTCAAACTGCTAGCTTATTTAGGTACTCACTTAAATGGAAGATACCCAAACTCTTATTAATATTTTCTGTCCAACCTTCCAAGACCTTTTAGATGATAACCAACTCTAACGTTCTTTTCTCTGACTCTTTTGATTCTTTTTGTATTATTATTAATTAAATTTATATATCACCCTCCATCCAAAGATCACAGGGTGGTTCACAACATAAACTTTGCTCCTCTCCTCTGATTTTTTTTTTTAATTTGCAGGTTAAACCAGAGCTCCCCCCCCCTTAAAGTCCAGGTACAGGCATAAATCTGCCCTGTTGGGAGGTGAGGACCATCTCATTTGCTCACATGCTCTTTCCCCCTTTCCCCTTTTTCAGAGCTAACCATGGTTAGCAGCAAACTAGAATTTGCAACCATGCAAATCCAGTTCTAACCACCGTGGCAAACTGCAGATCAGAGCCAACAATGGTTAACCTTGAAAAGGGATGGGTGGGAATTCATGTGTGAGAGGGGGAAAGGGGTATTAAGAGACTAAGAGTGCAGGATAACATTCCCTAATGTCAAAGGCAATATAATTAGTTTTATTAACTTTCCAGCCAGCTTCAGTTTTCCCAGCTATTACAGATTAGGTTTTTATCGGTTAAGGCAGAAAATGGCAAGGAAATTACCTCGCAAAACAAATTTGCACACAGAATTTTGGTCTGAAGTAGAAGTCAGGCTTTTCAATAAATGAGTCTGCAGGAAACATTAATAGATTTTCCTTTTACCTAAGGCAGGTATTTCATGCACCTCATACTCCTTAGTGTTCCTTTTAACATATCTTATCAACCAGTTAAAGATGTGAACGTCACAGTGAACTGAAATGTCCACTTCTTCCCAGCGCTGGGCATCCACTGACAGATATTCAGCAAAGTACTTCATTTCAGAAATCAACAGATCTCGCGGACAAACAAAATCTTCTTTCAGATTTTTTGCTTCATCACACACATGGATCACCATATTTGGCCTTTATTTGAGAAGGGGAAAAAAACCACAGGGAGGAAAATTATTATAGCTTGTCAAACAGGAATGTCAGAATGATTTACAAAGATATTTTACCTCAGTTTTAAGTTTAGACAGTTTTTAATGCATATGAACACATGCATGGTTTGGAGCATACTTTTACAATATAATAATACGGATTTTAAGCTATATCTATGATTTTGTTTAAAAGTTTAGAAAGAAAATTAAAAGGTATGGGGAAATGTAAGCTACACATTGGAGCAAGTTTGGCCTCATGGACGGTGAGCTAGGTGAATCTGCAAAACCCACTTCACGACTTAGATCATTTCTAAACTCAAAGAAGAAACCTGGCAGCTAGCTGTCAACTTTCACACCTCTAGTTGCAAAATGGGCATACTGATGTTATGTGCGTGCACAAATTCTGCGGGAGAAAGGAAAAATGCAAAATATGGCACTGGCCACTAAATTAAAGCTTCCAGAAAATGCCAAGGCCAAACTAGATATATGCAATAAACTCTGATCTCTCCTGTTTTTAATTGAAAACCAGGCGTAGATCTGGTCAGAGGAAGCAGCCCTGCTTAACACTTTATTCTACTCACTGTAGAAAAGCTGGTGAAGAGGCATGATTCTGAGCAGAAAAAAGTCACAGGGGAAGGGTTAAGTAACCAACTTAAACTCACAGCCTCCTCCAGCTACATTTCATTTAAAAAATGGCTGGAAGACACTCACAAATATCTACTGTCTGGCAGTAAAGGTAAAGGGACCCCTGACCATTAGGTCCAGTTGTGACCGACTCTGGGGTTGCGGCGCTCATCTTGCTTTATTGGCCGAGGGAGCCGGCTTACAGCTTCCGGGTCATGTGGCCAGCATGACTGAGCCGCTTCTGGCGAACCAGAGCAGCGCATGGAAACGCCGTTTGCCTTCCCGCCGGAGTGGTGCCTATTTATCTACTTGCACTTTGATGTGCTTTCGAACTGCTAGGTTGGCAGGAGCTGGGACCGAGCAACGGGAGCGCACCCCGTTGCGGGGATTCGAACCGCCGACCTTCTGATCGGCAACTCCTAGGCTCTGTGGTTTAACCCACAGCGCCACCCGCGTCCCTCACTGTCTGGCTGTAGTTTGGCCCTAAGTTCTCATTTTTATTTTTATTTTATGATTCTAGCACATATGACTTGAAGTTATTGTTGTTTGTTTTAAACTGTTATTGTAAGCCATTAAGGCTGCCGTGTGATAAGGCACAATATAAACCTTAAAACTCAAATGTGTAGATTATGCTGGCTGACCTCTCCAAGGCCAGAGGGGTGGCGAAATAAGACTGGTTGGAGTTGGAGCTTATTGCTCTTCAAGCTCCAGTCGAGGACTAGCGGAACCAGAATAAATGATGAAAAATGAGAAGTCTCACAAGTGTGTTTAATTGGCTTATGTTATACACATCACAGAACCTGGGGGAGTGGCGGCAACACAGAACACACATCCCTTTTCTACGTGCACAAGCATGCAGCATATTTAAGAAAAATAATACCCAAAATAGGTCTCTTGTTCTAGTTAATACCAATTACATTTGTGGTGTGAACTGTTCACTGAACTGCGGTCAACAAAATCATCAAGGGGTTACTATAAACAAAGCCTCTCCACATTAGGAAGAATGGAAATGTATGCAAATTCTGGGGTTTGGGTTCTCCAGTACCAGATATATCCTCAGGCTACTCCAACATTCAACTCTTTAGAAAGTTCTAGTGAAGGGGTATAGTGAACACCTATGTCAAGATAAAGCTACCCTGTTCATTATTCCTAAGAGATGACCCCACGTCTATCATTATTCATACATGCATTTTCAATGGATACACGTTGCCTTTCTAGTCGCAGACAGGGGCAGAGAGAAAGAAAAAATAGCATTCCACAAAAGCAGAAAGGTATTTCTTCTGCTTTATTCAGGAGTGGAGAACCTTTTTTCTACCAGGGACCTATGTCCCACACAGGTGGGCAATCAGGTGCTATTACAGATAATTTTATTATGATAAATATAAATGTTACAACACCTAGGAAGATAGTACTGGGCTGTTGCCCAGCTCTTTCCTTCTACGCCATCCTCAGCCCCAAACTGCTGCTTTGTAAAGTCTCTGGAAACATCCAATGAAATTAAGCAGGGAGCTGAATCTGACCCTTAGGCCAGAGGTCCCCAAACCACAATTGAAATGAACAGGGATGGTCTCATTGACAGTGAAAATAAGTGTATACTTATGAAATGGAACCTTCATGCCTGGCAGAACTTGCTTGATTAGGGTGAGAGAGACTGGTGTCTTCCGGCAAGCTATGCAAAAGTGATTTCCAAGCAAAGAGCCATCCATATATTAACCTCTACTGGCAGAGGATTCTCTGCCATCTCCTATCTGGTAATCTGTGTTTATTAAAAGCAAGGAGGGTGTTAGGCCAGGTCTGAGGTCTGTTGACCCCCTCGCTGTCTCCCCAGGGGAACCAAGAATGTAGAAAGGTTAGGAGAGCAGCTGTCTTGCAAGGAAAGCTGCCAGGTGTTCCTCAAAGTGAGCATCAGTCACAGTAGAAAAGTACCTGGGCCAGTTTTGAAAACCGCTGCTCTACAACGTGCCTGTGAACACACGGCATATATTTTCAGGGTTCACAGCGGAAACGACAGCAGGATGAAGGCAACATCACTACGCAAGCCTTTTTACGAAGGTGATGGAGAAGCTTTGCAAGATGGCTGAATGGAGGGCAGGGGGTGGGGAAACAGGCATTCATATTTTATACCATCTACCACCACAACAGATGATTCATTATTCATGACAAAGGAAGTGAAAGGTTGCCTACATTTAACGGAAGAGGGGATACAGAAACACATCCCACTGACTGCTTCCACATGTCAAGTTAGCACACAAGGGAGCATTGTTCCACCCAGCCAAGGCTAAACATTTACTTCTCTAAATCTATCTCCAAGCTGCACTTAACAGCCATTTCTACCAAATAGAAGGCAAAAAAACCCCTATGGGAAGCTTAGAGGTTCCAGGATACTACAGATTCCAAACCTGAAAGGAGTGCCAGTTCTAGAGAGGAGAAGCTTCCAGCGTTTTAATGCCTTCCAGTCCCTGAAGGTACTCTTTCACAAGAGCTTATCCTCAGTTACTGTTTGTCTAAATTTTTGTTAAAAAATGAGGCCAACGTAACTCTCCAGCCCCCCCACAATCCTTCACCCACCCAATAGAAATCCCACAAATACACAGAGATATAATCCAAGCGTAGAAGAGAACAAACGAATGTCGAAGATTCAGGTTTATCTAGCTTTCCCAAAATCAAACAACCATCTTCCTACCCTTGTGTTTCATCAGCATTTTCTCCACCTTTATGTGCAGGGCCCTTCTCACTTTCTGCAGAGCAATTCCTTGAGGAAGCTACACTTGGCCTTCCTTAAATGCAAGCGGGGAGAAAAAGCATTAAGACATAGTGTTGAGATGGTCTTCTCATTTTCGCCTGGTAAGTGGTAGTCCTATGCCTAGAGGAAAGTGCGATCTAAGGGAGCTGTCCACTTGCTTACTAGATGGATCCTTTTCACACACACTCCTTTAAGGAAAGGCTGGCTTTTAAATTCAGTCCAGTCCAGGTGGAAACATATAGAGGAATTGAGGGATTAATACTTTCAGTCACCATGTGCATGTCCACACATACAAAAAAGGAGGATGTAAAATCGCTTAAGTCTGTGGGAGAGTTTCTCCTGCCAGTTCCCAAGGACCTCAGAAGCCTGCTCCACAGTAACGCGGAGCAGGGCTTTTAGGGTGGCTGCCCCAGTTCCACAGAATAATGCATTCCTGTCAAGAGACAACAGTCACCAACTAACTGCACCTTCCAGAAACAATCAAAGACAATTTTGTTTCAACAGGCTTTGCCAGTTGAATAAGTAGGTCTTTAGCACAAGTGCTTACTTTGTTAAAGTTTCGGTCTCGTTTTAAAAGTATTTGCTGTTTTTGTGTTTTAATTATGTGTAAATCGCCTTGAGGCAGTTGTTTAGAAGGCAATCAATAAATCAATGGTATTACAAACAATAACAAAACTGTCATGGCTATGTGTTTGACCTTCTCTTTTACACTTCTCTTTTGGAGAGCAGTAACAGACATCATAATGTCATTAATACTGGGATTCCTCTGCCTGATGTCCATACACCCAAAAGGAAAAGTATAGCTTTTTTAAACACACACACACACACAATACAACACAACACAGTGGAGCCTGGTATCTTGCCTTTCATCCACCCCCAAAACGACTTCCTACATTGAAGGTTCCTTGTTAAAGTACCAAACATGGAGACAGAAGGTTCCTGTTATCTGGATTTTCTCTTTAAAAGGTTCATGAACAAGCCCACTGTAGGAGTGTCCAATAATATTCACTTTCCCATTAGGAAAATACTTAATGCTAAGTCTCAGAGAGCATTCAAGAGAAACAAAACCCAAGAGCAGTAAGTTCTGAACAAGGCAGATTAAGAATTGCCCTGGGGCATTAATATACTAACTGGAGGCTTGCAACCAAAGGTAAATTTCATTGCTCCTCTTGTCACCTAACCCCAATTCCTCCTGCCACCTAACCCATTGAGACAATTTTAGAATCTACTTTTCACTGGGAGACTGTCCCTTCCACAGCACAACTTCATGCCCTCCCTCTGGCGTGGCTCTTGATTTCATTCAGCTCTTTTCTCTTCTCCCATGGTCTATGTATTATCACATGCTCACTATGCTTCTGCTTCTCTCCCTTGCACCACCTGCCTCTCTACCACTCAACCCCACCACGATTTCACTGCTGTGCATCTCTGGCTCTTCTCCTTCTCCTCCTTTTCAGCCATAAAACACACTTTGTATGCGGTCTCTGCTGAGTCACTAGTCTACTCCCATGTGGAAGTGGCATGGCCTTCGGCAGAGACAGCTCACAGACCTGCTTAACTAGAGCAGGGGAAATCCTATCATTGCTGACCATCTGCCATGCTGCATCGGGCTGATGGGACTCTTCAAGACCTTTCACCCCAAACTAGAGCACAAACCTGGGATCTTCCTATTGTCCACTGTAGTAACACAGTTCAAAGACAGCTTAGGGAGTTAGCTGGTTTATCATATGGTTTTATTATATGTGGCTTGTTGCAACCTGAGTTTTTGCAGGCACATTTGATAATTGGTAAAAGCTCAACCCACAATAAGCCATTTCACCTTTGGTTCTTTTAGACAAGTGTATTAGCTTTCAAAAAGGCCACTGTACAGTTCAAGGCAAAGTTACAATGAAATAACAATTAATTATATTAAACCACCAGTTAACTGAGACTTTGAAAAGTAAATAGGTAAACTACAGGAAGGGATTGTAATTTAGAGACCAATACTTATGACGAGCACCAGCACTTTAAGGGTTACTAGCTGACTCTGCTCGGAACAGGTTAAGGATTTCAAATGGATGAAACCTAGCATGCACAATGTTTTGAATGCAGTAGCAGAACTGCCTGAAAGCCTACCATTTACAGAAATTGCATCTTTTTCACTAGGAGGTTCTTGTAACTCTTCCTGGGAATCAAGAAGTGATGATTTGATATAACCAGCCAATGTTTCCATAGGGCTCCCACCACTGGCCATTAGTGGACTGTACTGGTTATCAACTGGAGAACTCCCACTGCTTTTCAGTTCGTCAAACCTTTTTGCACACTGTCAGAAGATAAAAGAGGAGGGATTTTCAGTTTTAGTTCTTGTTGGAAGAAATCCCAGGTATGCCTAGGACATAGATGCTCATCTCCGGGGATCTAAATAAACAACAACTGATATTAACCTTGTGCAGAGCTAGTGACTAAGCCTTTAAGCCTGGTTTCTATGTTTTTTTGTTGGCACCCAAGAATCTGGCAGCTTTTTCAGTGTGAAGGGCTTGTCCTTCCTCTGAGCTAAAGCCCAATTTCATAGCCCATGGTGTAACATCATACAGTGGTGCCTTGCAAGACGAAATTAATCCGTTCCGCGAGTCTCTTCGTCTTGCGGTTTTTTCGTCTTGCGAAGCACGGCTATTAGCAGCTTAGCGGCTATTAGTGGCTTAGCGGCTATTAACGGCTTAGCGGCTTTAAGAAAAAGGAAACAAACTCGCAAGAACTCGCAAGACGTTTCGTCTTGCGAAGCAAGCCCATAGGGAAATTCGTCTTGCGGAACGACTCAAAAAATGGAAAACCCTTTCGTCTAGCGAGTTTTTCGTCTTGCGAGGCATTCGTCTTGCGGGGCACCACTGTACATCATAATTTGAGATGCTGTGTTCAGACAGCATAATGAAGCCATTTTTTTTCTGGTCTTAGAGGACTTACTATTAGGTTGCAAACTGAAGTTTAATTACTTTATAGTACTGCTAACTCAATATAACAGTCAGTTATTCTCTCAGACGAGGATAGTAGCATCCCCTGTGGGCACTTGAGGACTTGTCAAAGAGTACAAAGAGGAAAGGGTCCTTCCCAGCAAACATATACATGATCTTCCATAGGTATAGAATTTTTATCAAGCAAGAAGATTCTATGAGACATAAATGCCTCTCTTCTCTCTCAGAAGGAAAAGGCAACAGTGATAGAAAAACTAAGGCCCAGGTCTATGATGGCAGCTGGATAAACTAGGACCTCAACTGCCTGAGCAGTGCTACTACCATGATCTCAATACATTCACAAGCTGAGAACACTTGCCTTCTCCATTAGGTACAGTGGTACCTTGGTTTAAGAATAGCTTAGTTTATGAACAACTTGGATTAAGAGTGCTGCAAAACTGGAAGCAGGTGTTTTGGTTTGTGAACTTTGCCTTGGAAGCAGAACATGTTCCGCATGCTGTTGAGTGTGTTCTATTTGTAAACTGAGTCCCCCGCTGCTATGGGAAAAGCACGCTTTGGTTTAAGAATGGACTTCCGGAACGGATTAAGTTCGTAAATCAAGGTACCACTGTACCCACCTTCAGTGAAAGTATAGTTAGAAGAGTAAGACTAATCCAACTGAAACCTTCCCCTAATATTGCTAGCCAGTCACATGAGTAGGGAAGGAGCTTGAGAAGTATTCAGAACTTGGATCATCCTTATAGAGCACCACAACTTTCCAGAACTATAATAAACATACATTCTTTTCAGAAGCAGCAGAGCAAACAAGTGATGTCACAGTGGATAACTAGTGCTGAATCTTTGTTAGATTGATAGAAGCTTTGCAGAAGTGGAAGTCTGTGCAGCAGAAGTATCAATGGAAAGTGTTCCTCCCATACAATACTTAAAATCAGCTTTGTTTTATGCCTCACCATTCAACACCGGAAGGTATAGAAGCCATCACACATCATGAATGAGCACAAAGGAGCTTCTAGACCTGGCAGTCAAAGTAATATTTAATAGACATGATAACAACAGTAAATTAAATGGTATCTGATCTGAATACCTTAGAGCTCTTTAAGCCAAAATTTCTTCAAAGTTAATTCTTTGTATAGTTCCTTAAATCAACCTTCTGTTCAACCTCCTACTGTCTTATCTCTTTTACTTTGCAGCTGCTGGGTTTGGGTTTTTGTTGTTTTTGGGGGCTTCAGGGCAGGTTTGTTTGCCTTGCGTTATGATTTTAAAAATAGGCTTCTAGCACAGAAACAAATCCACACTGGCTGTAATATACATGTGATTCTTCACAGCGTCCATGTGCAACATAAAATAAATGTGAGGTTTAAGTGCCTGGAAGACTGTCAAGCATGAAAACACTGCTAAGGGAGCAAAAGGATTTTCTCTCAGCTGGTTTATGACTGAGCACAAATGTTGGATTTGACTTTAGGTGTGATTCCTTTAACAACTTTGGTTGTGTTTAATTGTACATTAGCTGCCATCAGTTCAATGATTCTCTGCTCTTTAGTCCTCTTTAAGGCCAAAAGAAACAACTATTATTACACATTCTTGTGTGACTTTATTGATTACACAAATAATGAGGCATGTGGTAGAACAGCACCCATAGTTTGCAGCACAGTCTGAAGTACATGAAGTAAATATTTTTCCCTCCCCCTTCCTATAAATAATTCGAGTTTTAATTGATACAAAATACCATTTATCTTTATCTGAGTGTTTACTGTGCTTTTAGTTTTATTTTTAATTTTATGTGATTGTTGCATGTCATACGCTCTAATGTAAATAAAGCTTTATCTTCATTTATCATCATTCAGCCCAGACACTGAGATCCAGCTCTGAGGGCCTTCTGGCAGTTCCCTCCCTGCGAGAAGTGAGGTTACAGGGAACCAGGTGGAGAGTCTTCTCGGTGGCGGCTCTCGTCCTGTGGAACGCCCTCCGAGCAAATGTCAAGGCAATAAACAACTATCTGACTTTTAGAAGACATCTGAAAATGGCCCTGTTTAGGGAAGTTTTTAATGTTTGATGTTTGATTGTGCTTTTAATGTTCTGTTGGGAGCAGCCCAGAGTGGCTGGGAAAACCCAGCCAGATGCGCAATAAATAATAAATCATCATCATCATCACCACTATCTCAATGCAACCATGTTAAACAGTTCAAAGATCGAAATGAATAAAAGCTACATTACAAAATAAGGGAAAACGTACCTCTCGAGATGAATAGCCTGGAACCAGCCTTGCCACGTTGTCCCAATTGATAGGCTGAGGGACACTGAATAAAGAGCAGAGGATCATATCCAAAACCATTTGATTATTGTCGTATGGGAAGTTATTGTTTTCTGAATATCCACGGCTCATTTTTTGGCACTAGAAAGAAAGACATGAAAAAAGAAACACACATAGCTGCACTTTCCTTTAACAACTTTGGTTGTCTTAAATGTACATTAGCTGTCATCAGTTCAATTTGTTTCACACTTCTTAGGCAAAGTAATTACATGGCCAGCACCCGAATTTAGCTGTGTATGTTTTGCCTTACTCATGAACAGACTTTCAACAAATATACCAATAGAGGTATGTAAGTATTTACGTTCTACAAAAGAAAATATCATCACTGTTAAACAGGTTCTCAAAGAGAGTGGCTGCACCTGGGGATGCTTCAGCCAATTCATGGCTCTCTGTAGGATCCTCCATAAATTCAGACTTCAAACTGTTGCTCTGTCTTTCATCTACCTCTATACACATACACCTGCAAACGTCTCAAACGGTACACCCCCATAAGCATATCATTTATTCAGAAAAACGCCCACAATCATAAGAAATGTTAACTTCTGTTTCTTTAAGGTCAGAGATGGTGAATCACCAGCCTGTTTGCCTGATCCTCTGAGTGGTTTTCTGGAGCCTTCCAAGAATTTGGCAGCAGCAAACACCAAAAACATGAACTGCTTTGGGACTCTCCATACAGAGTCAAATGGAGGTCTAAACATCACCAGCACTCAAGAAGCAGGGAGATCCTGAATGAGGCAGCATTACCATGTCTGTTCTGCTGCCAGTTCCACCTCCTTGAGCATTCAATACTCCTCCTATGAGCACGTAGTAATTTCCAGTGTTTCATGACAACTCTCATCACATAGTTACTTCCTCTGCCTGTTCCCAAAAGCTAGGCAGCACTGGCATGAGAAATGCTAATGTAATGAAGAGTCTGCTAAGCAATTAAGAGCTTCTGTAAGTCCAGCCTCCAGGGAGCATTTTTGGCTTCTAGCACTCCAGCTATATTTGGGCCTAAATTGGTTCATTAACTACATACACATAGCCAAAATACAGCTATACAATCTTTGAGATGACTTCAGCTTCTCAGGCAGTTGGATTAAACTAGTGAAAGTTATCCAAACAGCAGTAAGGTTAAACACTGTTATTGATATTAAAATCCAGATTCCAATAAAAAGAAAACAGGAAATAAAACTACACTTGAATCAAAAAGAACCCTATTTTATTACATAGTTTTAAAAAGCAGCATCCTACAGCTGTGGTTTTCAAACTTTCATCATTTACAGAACCTTTTCCACATCAGCTTGTCTGCCAAGAATTTCCTTCGTGGCTAACACGTATCCGTGCTTAATCCAGACATATGTTCAGGAAACACACTCAGTTCATGAGAAACATTGTTCAGTTCTGCTAGGCCCCACCATCAATCCACTGGAATTGAGAGCACGCTGCAGAATACTCTGACCCACCACAATGCTATGGGTTGCACATGGAAACACTAATAATGTTGAGCAAGCAACATTGCTAACTTTGTCACTGATGGAAGCCTGATGAGCTTCTGAGAAACTCAAGGTATTTCCCCAACAGTTTGACAACTGCTATCCTATACCAATATTTAAAAAATAAAACTAAGAATATAATTTCTTCATATGTTAAGATTTATCCTGCGTAGACACAGTGCAAGTCTTCCATTCTGACACCTACAATGGAAGGGGAGAAAAATGCTTCTCAGTAGGAAACTGCTATGTGCTGCTATTTATAGTCTCCCATTTCTTAAATAATGAATCACAGCAGAAAGCAACCATGTGAAAATTCAGGAAGGAGAAAAACAGCCAGGGATGGGGGAGAGAAACATTAATTCCAGTTCCATGATGTAGCAAATTCAAATGCACAGTTTGGATTTTATTTTATCCCACAAGTACTCAGTGTAAAACTGAAGTTGCCAACTTCTATCCATTGGCAACTCTATTACAGTGGTACCTCAGGTTACATACACTTCAGGTTACATACGCTTCAGGTTACAGACTCTGATAACCCAGAAATAGTGCTTCAGGTTAAGAACTTTGCTTCAGGATAAGAACAGAAATCGGGCTCCGGCAGTGCGGCAGCAGCAGGAGGCCCCATTAGCTAAAGTGGTGCTTCAGGTTAAGAACAGTTTCAGGTTAAGAACAGACCTCCAGAAGGAATTAAGTACTTAACCCGAGGTACAACTGTACATTTATTCCGTCCAGGGAGACATATCATCCAAGAAAAATAAGCAAAGTTTCTTTCTCTTTTTTCACTTTAACTTTAAGCCACCAGAAAATGTGTCTCTCTCATCCAGCAGCACATTATCCAATGATGACTGCAGGCTTTGAAAGTTGCAAAGCAGCCAGAAAAGTTCCTCCTGTAGCATACCCACTGCTCAGGTATCAAAATTACAGAAGACTAAATGAGACAGACATGTTGTTTTTTTGTGGGTTACATCAAGCTTTTGAATTATTTCTGTAATTTTGCAGCTGGTAAAAAAAAAAAAAAAGTCTGACCCTGCTAACCATAACTAGTGAGCAGCTGAACTTAAAAGATTGAATGACTTGTAAACGTCATAGGCTTTTAGTTCAGTTTATAACAAAGCCTAAGCAAGCGCAGTTGATACTGCTTTCCTATTCATCCATGTCTCCACTTCCTCATTTTCCTCTGTTTTTCCACATGTGACATTTTAGATTACAAATTAAACTCTTTTACAGTGCCATGAATACTGATGTCACCATATAAATAACTCAAATAAGGAACTTAAATAACTAGAAATAAAACAAATAAAATTCAATCCCCTATATACTGGGCAACATTGATACATACATAAGGCTTACTTCCTCAATTCAGAAGTAATCCAGTCTCTCATTTAGAGGAGGGCAGGGCCTGATTACTGCTTAAGGATCAGAAAAAACAGTACATTACATTGCCACTGAAATTTCTGCAGTGCAGTAGCATTAAATATAATGGGATTGCATTTACAGACCACACAGCTTGGTCCTCAACTGATTTCAATAATAAAGATTACTCCCCCGCCCCCTGCCAAAAAAAGAGGGGGGGGAATACTCAGAGCACTTCATGTGCATTATCACATTAATCCTTAAAGCAAACATGCACAATAAGCGAGCATGGTTCTTCCCTATATTACAGACAAGGTGAGGCTTCGGAGAGTTCAGAAAAGCAAGGGTACAGAGATGCTGCAATTTGAATCAGAGGCCAGCCCTCACCAAAATCTTCAGTGTAAAAGGGAGGTTAAAGAAAGGCAATGGTCACTGCCTGAAGACCCACACAACTAGTTTTGTAAAACCAAACAGACTCTGAACTTTTGAAATAGGAGTCCTCTTTAAAAACAATGGGTTTTCAAGGGGAATTTTTAGTGTTGGGCATAAAGCAAATCTTCTGCTTCCTGAAGTAGTTTTCTGGATCTCTGTCCACATGTGCTCCAAGGGCATAAAAGGGGTCAAGAAAACACTTTGCTAGTAGCATATAACTAATTCATATAGGTTCTCCAGACAGCCAATTAACAAAAGAAGAGTGCATCTTGTTTGTAGTAGGAATAGGACATGTATGCAGTAGGGCTATAAACAAACACTCATTTCCAGCTCAGAGGAAGCTGCATCTACAAATAAAATAGTAGTTCCTAACTTGCCACAAGCAATTCTGTCAGGACAGCAGCAGTGAGCTTCAAAAAGTTCACAAAACCAGACCTGAGACTTACCCTTGATTTTGATTTTTTTAATCCTGCCTAACCTGTAACACAACCAGGCCCAACACCTGCTACCACCTCCTTCTCCAGGTGTAATAAAGCACTCTGCTGAAATAACTGCCTTGCCTTGCTCAGTTACTCAGAAGACAGGACATCTTCATATAACATGAGGATTCACCCACCCCCTACATCTTCTGCAACACTCGCAGCATCAACAGCTCAGAAAAGAATGAAGCAGCAGCACAGCTTTGACTCTTTGTGCTAGGATTAGACCCCGCCCATATCCATTTCATCACAAATAAAATTTTCATAGAGGGGACAGGCCCAATCACTTAACTGAGGGAGAAGATGTGGTTCCTTTCTTACAATGTACCCTGAGAGAGAGTGTAGTCAGAGAATGCTTTCTATGGTGCTGAAAGTTCCCTAGTTTTGTACAAATACTAAGGAGACATTAGTAGAATAGGAGCCATCTTGAATCCATTTGTACTGTTTGGTTTCCTTATTAGTAAAGGTAAAGGGACCCCTGACCATTAGGTCCAGTCGTGACAGACTCTGGGGTTGCGGCGCTCATCTCGCTTTATTGGCCGAGGGAGCCAGCGTACAGCTTCCGGTCATGTGACCAGCATGACTAAGCCGCTTCTGGCGAACCAGAGCAGCGCACGGAAACACCGTTCACCTTTCCACCAAAGCGGTACCTATTTATCTACTTGCACTTTGACGTGCTTTCGAACTGCTAGGTGGGCAGGAGCAGGGACCGAGCAACGGGAGCTCACCCCGTCACTGGGATTCGAACCGCCGACCTTCTGATCTGCAAGTGCTAGGCACTGTGGTTTAACCCACAGCGCCACCCGCGTTCCTTATTAGTGATTAACAAAAATGTTGCCACAATGTCAGCCATTATTCCATAAAACCATACCTCTTGGCTTTCAAATCCTCAGATGTCTAGATCAGGGGTCGACAATGTGCAGCCCACAAAGACTATTTTACTGGCCCATGAGCTGCCCCCGAACCGAGCCGCCTGCTCGGTGAGTCCCCCACGTGCTGTGCTAAACTGGCACAGCGCGGCGTGGAGACTCGCCGAGTGGCGCCAGTAATCACGTCTGCGCACGCACAGATACCGGAAATTGCATCTGTGCATGTCCAGACGCCGAAAATCGTTTCTGCGCAGGCACGATTTTTGGCATCTGGGCATGCGCAGAAGCGATTTCCGGCACCGCAGACATGCGCAGACGCGATCTCCAGCATCGTGCTGCGCCAGTCTGGCCCATGGACGATCTCCATGGGAGTGATCCGGCCCACGGCTGGTAAACCTTGCCGACCCCTGGTCTAAATGAATGCCAGCAGCAAAAACAACAACAACGTTGGGACAATATGCAAACTAAAGCCAGCTAAAATACCCTACCCTTCAAGTTTTCCCAAAAGCATGCACCTTATCATCCCATGGCTTCCTTACTATAGTTATTACCACGATATGAAAAAGCCTTTGTAGACAGTTATTAAAAATACATCAGTTAACATAGCCTCAACACAGAGCAAACCCAATACCTCAGCATCTCTCAAACTATCAGGCATCTTAGCTGTGCGAAGTTGACAGGTGCTCTGCCACACGATGATAATTCCAGACAGGCATGAAGCTTTTGTCTAGCAGCAACATGCTTTGTAAAATGCAACCTAGATTTGGCTCTATATAAAAAGATGAATAAATAGGTGCGTGGGGCGGGGGGGAGAGTTACTGACAGACACACAGTTTCATCCACTCAAGCACTCCTTTATAGCTGTTTCAAACAACGACCATTTATACTTGTGTGGGATAGCCTGCTCCTCTTTCAAGAGCCACTCCCAACATACACTGCTGTTTGCAGCACATAATGTAGAACACATCAGTTTACTGCTCAGCAAACCGAGATTAGTTATGAGGATGAGCGACAGTCAGCCTCAGGCTCCTGAATTCCTTCCATCGCCAGGGCTATCTGGAGGAAACTGGATGCTTCCACTTCAGATATAACTAGAGTTTATCATTATGTCAAAATCCTAAAGCTGTGGTTAATCTTAACAAGAATGAGTGGAGACAAGCCAGCTTCAAAACCCATTGTTTGAAGATGGCTTGTTTTCACTAATTGTTGTAAAAACTCACATTTTGTCTGGGTTCAGAAATCACACCAAACTATTAATTTAGGACAGAAGTAAAAACTTCCAAACCCCTATTTTTTGGCCGTGGAAAGGGGGGTGGGAGAGAGAATGCATGAGCCAAAAGATCATTAAGGTTCATTTCCTGTAATGCTAAACTTTGCTTTAGAATTACGTCCAATCTTGCCCATTATAAAGGCATGCAAATTCACATCAATTTTCAGCATGAGAATGGAGCACTCTGCACATAGAATAGGCAGACCCAAACTGATCATGGAAATATGACTGACATGGAAGATAAGAAGCAGCCTTATGCCAAGTCAAGCCATTTGGCCACCTAATTCAGTAATACTGACTAGTAGTGTCTTTCCAGGATTTGAAATGGGGGTGTCTCCCAGCCATAACAGAAGATGCTAGGAATTGACCCTAGGACCTTTAAGATGCAAAGCAGATGATCTCCTTCTGAGCTGTGGCCCTTTGAGTGGCCAATTATTGAAGTTGACTTGAATTCAATCCTAAGTAAGAGCAGTACATATCAATGGGGTTATTCCAATTAAATACATTTAGAGTCAATAAGACTAACTAATTTCAGGAATACATTCTAAACTCTGTGACTTAACTGGGTTATGTCTCAGAGCTCATTTGCACTCTTTGTTTAAAAAGCTCTGAAAGGAAAGTAAGCTATATATGCGTGTGAGTTATGAGAAGAAAAATATTTTTTAAAAAAGAGAGGGCTTTAAACTGATGTTTGAATAGCTAAGCCAAGGATCAGTTGCACAACATTTACCTAACAGTAGGCAACATTTTTAAAGGAGAAGAAAACTGGAATGCAGTTTAGTCAGATACCTTTCTTATGTAAGATGAACTTTATTTGTAGTAGAAAATCATTGATATATGTATAGTCCGAAATAAAGTAACTCACTCAGTCTGGGCCAAAAGGCAAGCTATAAAAAGAGAAATAAAAATAATAGTAAGTGATATTATTGTAAATTCTCCAACTCATCATATAATGATCCATACAACAAAAAATGTATGACCCATCATAGGGTGATACTTAGAAGAATGAAATCCATATCTATCACCTTTAATACACCTACATAATTTGTTTAGTACTATGGAATTGTAATACCTAGGAATCATATAGCTGGATAAAATACTGCCCTTAACAAATGGTGAAAGTTCCCTTCATCCAGTATTTCCAAAATAAGCCAATTATTCAATACATGCTTAAATAAAAAATGACTTTAATTTAAAATTTGCAAATTTTTGATCCTGTGTTACTCCTTCCAAATCAGCAACCTTTTTTTAATTTTAGAAAAGTTGGCATAGGAATTTAAAAAGATGCTTTGTAGCCAAAGGATCAGAAGCAGAGAGCAAACAGCTTCTCCTAAATCTAAGGTATCAAATTTGTTACTGTAGCTACAGCCCAAGGAGCATGCAAGAAGGAATGAAGACACACATGACAGTTATTTGTTGTTGTGTCCTAAGCAGAAAACTAGCTGCTAGATGATTCTTCAGAATGAAGTAATTCACTTCTATATGGAAGAAAATCCCAGCAAGCCAGAACTGCTCTGAAACCAATAACTGGTTCCAAAAAGTTTTGGAGCAGAATTTAGTATTAGAAAAGCAAACACCTCAGACCACCGAGCCACAGGAAAAGAGACAGAAAATAATATCCTGTAACACAACGGCAAGAACCTTCCTGCGAAAATAAAATTTCTCTAATCTGTCCTTATAATTTAATTGCTGGTTTTTGTTGCACGCATCATCTTCCCCTCCCCTCACTATACCTTGTAAATTGTAAAGATGAAGTAGTGCAATTATTTAGCTATAAACTCTAAGCTTATTTAGTGAATAACATATATATTATTGTATGCATTTTGTTTGTGTTTTATATAGATAAATCCTAATAAAATGATTATAAAAGAAAATTAAAATTATTTAAATGTACTTTAATGTCACCTATCTGTAATGTGTCAGATTTAGTTAGTATCTTTCAGAAACGAGGTTAATCATATTAACTGAACTGGGGAAACCATCATGCTTGAAACAAAAGGCACTGCCTCAGGACAAAAACTGAAAAGATTTTTTTGAATGTTCCTTCCCACCATACATCGTCACTTCACTGCAGACATTGTTTGGCTCACCTGCAGCTCTTATAAATGCAACAGTCTAGCTGAAAATAGCATCTTTGGAATGCAGAAAGGGCCCTTGAAATCTCACATCCTTCATAAATTTCATTCTTTTAAAAAATTCTATTTCACTATAAACAAAATAAACAAAAATGGTCAATTATCTTGCATACATGACCCAACAAAGAGCATGTGGATAACACATTATCCAAGATATTAGCCAAAATAATAATAATAAACATTATCCAAAATGACAATTGAGATACAAAGCTTTTGATCAAATACAAAACATAAAAGAAAAACAACCCAAAGCATTCATGTGGCTGTGATATCATCATCATCTATTAAATTTCTATACCGCCCTTCATCTGAGGATCACAGGGTAGTTTACAATATAATACAGTAGCCTTACCAACATCGAAGTTTTCCCAGAACAGGTAAGTGATAAGTGTTTTTCCTATCCTGAAAAGGTCTTGGGAGTTACGACTGCTTCATAAATTTCTGTAGAGTCTAAACTCTTTGTTGCATAAACAACAGACAAGAAGGGACGGAGGTTATCCAGAAAGCAGACCAAAAAACCAAGAAACCCCTCAACTAGCACTAGTTACCTGAAGGATGCTCCAAGGCAAGCGAGGTGCTGCCAACTGATGGGATCCAAAATGCAATGAAAGCGCCTCTCAGGAAAACACGGTGGCAGGCAGGGCAGGGCAAAGGACCAGACAGATATTATATCCTGAGGAGAGAAAGAGAGACAAAGAGCCAGAGAGTATCACTTCGCCTGTCGCATGGATTCAGCTCTGCCTCCAAAAAGGAAATAATTAAGGCAGGTTTGCATCCCAAACTGAGCAGTGGCACCACCCTGCTCCTCTGACCGGATCTTTTCCCTATCTCCCTCTTCCCTGCCACTCCCCACCCTGCACCACCCCACCTCCCTGGGTGCTGGAGGAAGGGAAAGATCCATTGCCAGCTCCTTCACTCAAGAGCTTTGCCCAGAGCAATGCAGGCACACGCCCCTCTGATGGGTTGCCCCCTTACTCAAGAGGCACCCCCGGCTGGTTGGGAAGCTGGAAGACGACCTGGCAACCTGGGAAACCCAGCCAGATGGGCGGGGTATAAATAATAATAATAATAATAATTTATAACAATAATTATTATTATTATTATTATTATTATTATTATTATTATTCCAGGGAACTACCTGACTTCAACCTCTCCCCCCAGGCCAAGATGCAGAACTCCATCTCCTGCCTGAAACCCTGGGGGGAGCTGCTGCTGCTGCTGCCAGTCCGTGTGGGCAATACTGAACTGGATGGGCCCAGGGTCCAAGGCAGGCTCCCTATGTTCCTAACTTCTTGGCTCTTGGGGTCAAAAAACAACAACCCACCACTCAATAAAATTAGTTAATACTACACTATCCCTGTCTCTCTCACACACACGCGAACTACCCAAGCAAACCTAATTACCACACAGCAATATTAATTTTTTAAAAAAATTAATTAAATTAACCACCGACTGAGGGAATCTCCTGACCTTCAGTGCAAGCTAACTTTTATTTGATAGAATAAAGGTAAAAGGGTTTTTTTTTCAGGGGGGGTTGCACTCTCATAGGCTAAAGTGAGCCCCCCCGCGCGCACGCGCTTTCGCCCACCTCCTCCTCCTGCCTCTCTCTCTCTCTCTCTCTTTTTCTTTCTCTCTCTTTCTTTCTTTCTCTCCCTCCCTTTGGCAACCCACCTCTCCCACTCGCTATACCGCCCTTTTCTCCTCATGAAAAGGGAAGGTTGGTTGTTGTGGCGGGCGGGAGAGGCGGCCCTGTCAGTCACGCCGCGCCGTCCAATCCTCTCGCCGCGCCCGGCCCTTCCCCGCCACCCGCTCTCTCCAAACGGGCCAATGAGAGGGGCCGGGGACGGGAGGGGCGTGAGCGCCCGCCCGCGGCTTGGCTTTGCCGCAGTGCAGCGGCCCCGTCCCTTCCCTTCCCCTGCCGCCCTTCTGCTCTCTCTCTCTCTCTCTCTCTCTCTCTCTCCGTCTCGCTTCTCCCGCGGCGGGCAGCCCCGCCCCCTCAGCGTCCCGTCGCCTAGCAACCGGCGGCATCGGGCCTACTGCGGCGGCTGCGGCGCTGGCGGAGCCTCTCAGGCGAGGCGTCTTTCTCTCTCTGAGGGGGAAGAAGGGAGGAAGGCGAGAGCTGTGCGGGGAAGAGAAAAGAGCGCGTAACGGGACGGGCTCTCCGCGAAGCCCCCCACGTGTGCTTGGTCGTGACGTCACCCGGGCCCACCTTACCTGCGACGTGACGTCACTCGCAGCACAACCTCCGCCTGTTGACGTCAAGTTATTTTATACATATATAATTATATGTATGATTTCATTTTATATATCTATAATCTAATCATATATAATACATAAATAATGTATATATTATATAATATTTATATTATAGGTAAAGATAAAGGGACCCCTGACCATTATTAGGTCCAGTCGTGACCGACTCTGGGGTTGCGGCGCTCATCTCGCTCTATAGGCCGAGGGAGCCGGCGTACAGCTTCCGGGTCATGTGGCCAGCATGACTAAGCTGCTTCTGGCGAACCAGAGCAGCGCACGGAAGCGCCGTTTACCTTCCTTTCGGAGCGGTACCTATTTATCTACTTGCACTTTGACATGCTTTCGAACTGCTAGGTTGGCAGGAGCTGTGGTTTAACCCACAGCGCCACCCGCATCCCAATTTATATTATACATAATATTTATTTATTTACAGTGGTCGCTCGGGTTGCGAATGTGATCCGTGCGGGATGCACATTCGCAACCCGCAGCAGCGTGTCTGCACACGCACAGGTTGCGATTTGGCGCTTCTGCATATGCGCAAAGTGCGATTTAGCACTTCTGCACATGCACGACCACCGAAACCCGGAAGTAACCCGTTCCAGTACTTCCGGGTTTCGGCAGTCCGTAACCCGAAAAAACGCCAACCTGAAGCGTCTGTAACCCAAGGTATGACTGTATTACATTTTGCTTACTAACCAATGTTGCTTCTCCTTACCCACACATCCACACAGCCCCTCAAAAAGCAAGCGACATAGTTGACATTAGGTAGCTTCTGTTTTTTGGTCATCCTAGAGCAGGGATGGGGACCCTTTGGCCCACCAGAGAACAGATCCCATCGTCCCTGAGGCTGATCAGAGCTGGAATCCAATAACATCTGGAGGGCCACAAGTTCTCCATCTGTGCACAATAAAGTGTAACCGACAGAATGTTGTGAATGTATTTGTTTTATCCATTTATACTGCACCTTTCAACATCTGTTTACTTTTCTACATATAGGTAAGCCTACCTGAGAGCAGACACCAGAGGAAATGACCCATCTGAAATCCCAAGCTTTGAAAGTTAGAGGACGTGCCTTTAAAGACCATGAACCATTCAGACATTGCAGTCCTGGATCACTTCTTACAGTCAGGGCTATCAAACCAAGAGTTACACCTGGCACAGTCGGTGTGGCAACTGGAAATCAACTAGAAACGAGAAGCAGAAAAGTTGGGAGCGACCCTATGGTAAGACAAAAAGTGCATGTGAGATTTCTCTTTTCCACTTAGAACACAACAACAACAACAACATTAACTCACCCCTATAGGTCCCCTATATAATTCACAAGAACAGATGCAATAGAATAGATTAAAGCTGAAATCAACACAGGGTGATATATTTTGAAATAGTGACTGTTCTTTATTAGAATATTCTGGCACATGAAAAACAACAAGAGGTGACATTGTGCATGTTTGGTGGTATACGTAGGATTTAAAAACGGAAGTCAGTAATGTCAAGATGACCAAACACAGGCTATAATCAACAGGGAGCAATAAAATGGATTGAATCTGAAGAAAGAAGGTGTTTAAGGGCATAGAAGCCCTGAAAAGCCTTAGCAGTGCTTTTCTCTGTCCACCCCGGTTAGCTGAAGCTGTAATTACAGTTTGCTACCAACATAATTGCCACAAATCAGGTCTGGGAAACATGGAAGGAATGCACAGGAAACATCAAAAGACAGCTATATGGAAATTACATTATCTGGCTGTTTGGTAAAAAATGAATGAACAAAATCATGATTTCAGAGAACAGAGGAAGGGATTGTTACAGAACGGAGATGACAAAATATGAAGTTCCAGCCAAAATAATAGACAGAATAAAAACCTACAAATCACCAGGTCTGGACGGCAACCACCTGAGAATTCTCAAGTACCCAACTAAAATGTGAAATTGCTGATCTTCTAACAAAAATATATAAATTGCCCCTTGGATCAGCCTCCATACCAGAGAACTGGAAAGTAGCCAATGTAACACCAATTCTTAAGAAAGGATCTGGGGGAATCCTGGAAATTGCAAGCCAGTTAGCTGAATGTCTGTCCCCAGAAAACTAGTGGAAAGTACAGTGGTACCTCGGGTTACATACGCTTCACGTTACATACGCTTCAAGTTACAGACTCCGCTAACCCAGAAATAGTGCTTCAGGTTAAGAACTTTGCTTCAGGATGAGAACAGAAATTGTGCTCCGGTGGTGCGGCGGCAGCAGGAGGCCCCATTAGCTAAAGTGGTGCTTCAGGTTAAGAACAGTTTCAGGTTAAGAACAGACCTCCGGAATGAATTAAGTAATTAACCCGAGGTACCACTGTATTGTTAAAGATAAAATAAACAAGCACATAGAAGAACAAGCCTTACTGAAGCGGAGCTAGTATGGCTTCTGCAAGGAAAAGTTCTGTCTCACAAACCTATTAGAATTCTTTGAGAGTGACAACAAGCATTTAGATAGAGGTGATCTGGTTGACATAGTTTACTTGGACTTTCAAAAAGCTTTGACAAAGTAGCTCACCAAAAGCTCCTAAGTAAGCTTAGCAGTCAAGGAGCAAAAGGAGAGGTCCACTTGTGGATCAAGAATCATTTAAGTTGCAGGAAGCAAAGAGTAGGAATAAATGGACATTTCTCCAAATGGAGAGAAATAGAAAGTGGAATCCCCCAAGGATCTGTACTGGGACCTGTGCTTTTTAACTTGTTCATAAATGATGTAGTTATGAGTGAGCAGTGATGTGGCCAGGTTTACTGATGACCGTAAATTCATGTTCATGGTTGTTAAAACAAAAAGCTCCGAAAAGATCTCTCCAGACTGAGAGAATGGGCAATAAAATGGCAGATGCAATTTAGTGTAAACAAGTGTAAAGTGATGCATGTTGGAGCAAAAAAATCTTTAATTTCACACACATGCTTATGGGGTCTGAACTGGAGGTGACCTTGGGGTCATAGTAGATAGCTCGATTAAAACTGTCAACGCAGTGTGCAGCAACCATGAAAAGGGCAAATTTCATGCTAGAGATCAGTAGGAAAGAATTTGAAAATAAAACTGCCAATTTCATAATGCTGTTATACAAATCTGCCGTGCAACCACATTTGTGCTCTTAATTTACTTGTAACCACTAGGGGTCATGAAAACAATTTCTGGTTCATTTTGCATTTGTATTAACTATAATTCAACAAGCATATTTATTATCAAGCAGGCATCCTTCGGCGAAGAGAACAATTCTCTGGAAAAGTTTAAAGCTCTGCAAAAGAAACACCTGCAGCTCAAAGGTATTCTAAAAGAAAAGGAGTCATCAATATCAAGATTAACTAAAATAATAAAAGACCAGGTATTGTAAATTCAGATTCACTGATTTATGAGACACTGAAGCGTTAAATCAAACCCGTACAACATGTGACCCCGTCAAGCCAAATTTAGCCTAACCATCATGTATGGCAGGCAGCTCACCAGAGGCTCAATAATCCACTTTTCCTTGAGAAGACACAGTAAATCTGAGGATTATATCTAAATAATGTATTTTCAAATACTTGTTTGTAGCATTCACATGTTGCAGTTTTGCTGTACATCTAAAACATCCTGAGTTCTCAGATTTCATCTAAACATCATGCTCTGAAATCCTGTGCACACTTCCCTAGGAGTAATTTCCATTTGAAGTTGTTTGGACTTAATTGTGTAGACATGCATAGAATTGGGCTGTTTATAGGCAGGACTTCCTCAATGACAAGTACTGCCTAGCCTCTTCTCTGTTGATCTTTAGATGTGGAGTGAAGACTTAGGTTCCAATAATGATTTTGTTGAAAATATGGAACCTCATTTGATAAACGTGGAAATGCTGTAATTACAAAGGCATTGTGTTCTAGAGCCCCTTGTGTGCAGAGAAGGCACCTGCAAGCAGCACTCTGCAGGATTGCACCCTCCTGCTCTTGGGGAGAGGGGGGGGGGAGGAAACACTAACTAAACCATTAACCCCACCCCTGAATTGATTCAGGGCTGAATCCAGGGCAGGTCAGGTGGTATCCAGGTTAGTGTGTGGGCGGGGGCAGGGATCTGTGCATAGCCCTAACACAGACTACTCCATTTGCTTCAGGTGAACAAATCTGTGTGTGCAAAGGAGTTTTCATTGCATTTACTTTTCTACAGCAGCTTTTTCAGGGAAAGGAGATCTATGTGCAAGCTAGAGCCTGCAGGAAAAGAATATTGTTGCATGCACCCTACTCTCCGAGCAGTGAGACTCTCCTGGGGGACCCAGGGTTCCGTTTCCTTGGAGCAAAAGTCAATGAAGACTGTGGTGCCTTTAGGATATATGGTTTTGTAGACTTCTATATACAACTATAGGGACGCGGGTGGCGCTGTGGGTAAAAGCCTCAGCGCCTAGGACTTGCCGATCGAAAGGTCGGCGGTTCGAATCCCCGCGGCGGGGTGCGCTCCTGCTGCTCGGTCCCAGCGCCTGCCAACCTAGCAGTTCGAAAGCACCCCCAGGTGCAAGTAGATAAATAGGGACCGCTTACTAGCGGGAAGGTAAACGGCGTTCCGTGTGCTGCGCTGGCTCGCCAGATGCAGCTTTGTCACGCTGGCCACGTGACCCGGAAGTGTCTTCGGACAGCGCTGGCCCCCGGCCTCTTGAGTGAGATGGGCGCACAACCCCAGAGTCTGTCAAGACTGGCCCGTATGGGCAGGGGTACCTTTACCTTTACCTTACCTATATACAACTATATATGCTGTGGGTTAAACCACAGAGCTTAGGGCTTGCCGATCAGAAGGTTTGAATCCCAGCGACGGGGTGAGTTCCTGGTGTTCGGTCCCAGCTCCTGCCAACCTAGCAGTTCGAAAGTACGTCAAAGTGCAAGTAGATAAATAGGTACCGCTCCAGCGGGAAGGTAAACGGTGTTTCCGTGTACTGCTCTGGTTCCCCAGAAGCGGCTTAGTCATACTGGCCACATGACCTGGAAGCTGTATGCCGGCTCCCTCGACCAGTAAAGCGAGATGAGCGCCACAACCCCAGAGTCTGCCACGACTGGACCTAATGGTCAGGGGTCCGTTTACCTTTACCTATATACAACCTGAGCATAGGATGGAAGGGATCACAGCAATAATAGATCTTTCCTCTTCACTAACTTCCTAGAGATGACCTGCAAGGGGGCTTAGCTTTGGGTTCAACACAGAAAAATAAAAAAACTAACTATCTTGGCCTTTTGTTCTCCTTTGGGAATTTACCCAGGTGCCTTCTCCCCTCCTGGAAGCATCAACAGTTGCCACTATTGCAAAACCTCTCTTCTTAGAACTCTTTAAGACGCTGGTGAAGCCACCCAAGGAACTTGTTTGACTGGTACACCAGGTTTCATAATGTAGATTTTAACTTCACAGGCGGAGAATCACGAGGCTCCTCACTCTCCACAACCTATAACAATATGTATTTATGGGCCATCTGTCATGGACACTTTAGTTGAGATTCCTGCATTGCAGGGGGTTGGACTAGATGGCCCTCAGGTACCTTCCAACTCTATGATTCTATTATTGTACCTAGGATTAGTTACAGAAGCAGGAATGAAACTAGGACGTTGTTTTGAGGAATGATTTGAAGGACTTCCTTCTGAATAAGCAAATATAGGATTATAGTATAATTGGATTGATTATTATTATTATTATTATTACTACTACTACTATTATTATTTTAACAGGCTACTGAGTATAGAACAGCAATAGAATTAGAAAAAGAACACCAGAAGGAGACTGAAAGGCGACTGGAAGAATCAGAACATTTAGTCAAGGAGCAGAGCCAGTTGCTTGATGAAACTGTGGCACGTTACAGAAAAATAATTAAGGAGCAAGAAACACAGGTTTGTCACCAAGGAAAACAGGCATAATTTGTTGCTCTTGCTTTATTTAGGTTACTATTATTTCATTCGAATACACATTAAAACCTTATCTGGAAAATAAACGTTTTTCACACTAAACTTATCCCTCAGTATTTCGTAATCCCTCAGTCTTTAGTAATCACACTGCAATGTCGCTCGCTTCCTTTTGTAGCATGCAGAGCTGGTGCTCGAAATGAAAAAACAGAGTGAGGCTGATATAAGGCGCAGAGAAGAAAATATTCTCAAGATAAAGCAATATATTTCTGGTACCTTCCAAGAAAAATCCCGGTACGGTGTTCAAATGTCTGAAAACAAGATCTCCTCAAATGATTCTAATCTTGCAATCTTTTAACTAAAGCTGCCATCCCTGTTAACAGACTGTCTTTAATCCCATTGAAATCAATGGATTATTCAAGCAGCTTCTTTCTGTGCAGGGCAGCAGGCTAGGTTTTCTGCTCATTCATTTATAGTATGGGGCATGAGACTGCCAAATAGCACTGGATTTACTGCTTAAGGTAAAGGTAAAGGTACCCCTGCCCGTACGGGCCAGTCTTGCCAGACTCTAGGGTTGTGCGCCCATCTCACTTAAGAGGCCGGGAGCCAGCGCTGTCCGCAGACACTTCCGGGTCACGTGGCCAGCGTGACAAAGCTGCATCTGGCGAGCCAGCGCAGCACACGGAACGCCGTTTACCTTCCCGCTGGTAAGCGGTCCCTATTTATCTACTTGCACCCGGGGGTGCTTTCGAACTGCTACGTTGGCAGGCGCTGGGACCGAGCAGCGGGAGCGCACCCCGCCGCGGGGATTCGAACCGCCGACCATGCGATCGGCAAGTCCTAGGCACTGAGGTTTTACCCACAGCGCCACCCGCGGATTTACTGCTTACAGAACCTCAAACCTGCAGACTATTTCTATGGTAGAATCAAAACTATATACAGTTCAAAGTATCATAAGATCACACATCAGCTGTTACACAGGGAGGCTCTTCATGAATCGTAAAATTAAGGTTCTTCTTCATAAGAGGAGACTGAGAGGAGATATAGCCATCTTCACTTATTTAAAGCAGCTGGAGACCCAAGTTTGGGAAACCCTGATCTAAAGGGTATCACATGGAGGATGGAGCAAGCTTGTTTTCTCCCGCTCCGGAGGGTATGATTCTATTATCTGCTTGGTTACTGTAGAAAAAAAGGGTGCTGGGCTAGGTGGACCTTTGGTCCGGAAGGGCTTTTCTTAATAAATAACTCTTATTACAACAATAAATGACTTGTCCTTCCTGTAATGAAACTGCCTCACGGAATTTGTTTTCCTTCTTGCAGGGAACGTCAACAACAGACAGATGAACTCAGGAGAGAAATAAATAAATTCATGGAGAAATCACACATTCTCAAAACAAAACTTGAAAAAGAACTCAATGCAAAAAAGGTGAGAGAAGGAAAACGTGCTTTGGCATTTACTGGAACATTATTTAAAAAAACAACCTTCCATAAAACATTTGTATGTTCTGTACCTTGTTTTGCGGCAGCAATTTGTGTGTTGTTTGGCTAGGTTTCTCCTATGCATTTATGGAACTGATAAAACAATTTTTTTTAACCAAACAGCAAACAATCCATCTTTGGAATTTGTGTTTTATTAGGCATGTATAAAACAGCATTTTGTGATTCCCTCAAGGTGCATTATTAACTTCAGAGTCGAGAACAGCTTAATCTTAAGTGGCCTTTGTACTCTGCGACTCCAAAACCACCATCACCTTTGTACCCCTTTCCTGCTATTTCTCAATATAGCTGCATTCTGATGCCCCACACACAACAAGACACATTCCCTTATCTGTTCCACAGGTGTGATTAAAATAAAATCCCCCACTCTCAAAAAAGCCCACCCACCCATACAGCCATTTCCTCAATTTATAAGATTACAGAGCAGAAGGGAAACATTAAAAACCACTTTTCTACCTGAAATGTTCCCATAGCCCCAGTTTCACTCAATTGTATTGTGATTTCAGTGTGAATTAAAAAAAAAACAGTGCTGCAATCAAGTTTCAACGGCATTTAATAGATTCATCAAGGTTAATCCAACCGCATGATAAAACCTTTAGTATATCTACAGTAGGTTGTTTACATCAATTTTCATTCTGGCGCCAATAAAACAAGCAAAGTCAAAGTGTCAGAGTCAAAGTCCACTATACATACTTATCTATTGAAGTTCAATATGCATAGATATGACAGTTTGTTAAGTATAGTTCAAGCAAGTATAAGTAAAGACTGCAATCCAAGGGTACTTCCCAGGACAAGCCCCATCAAATTCAGTAGGACCTCCTTCTAAGTGAATACATTTAGGACCTGTCTTGAAATTTAGTAAATCAATAATGAATCCTTTTTAAGCAAAACACTTTTCAACCTGCTGATTTTACTACAGTATTATCTGAAAAAAATAATCTGTAACATTTAGATCTCACAAAGTGTAAGTCTAATGAAAATGTGGAACATTTTCCCACTACCAACCCTAGCCACTTTTATTTTTCAATAGGCTTGGGGTTTTTTGAGGGGAGGGGAGGGAAGCAAATATTTAGTTAAAATCTTGAAGTATTACATACGAAGATAACTTTCCTAGTACATTTCAGCCGCCCCATTTTCCCCCTTCTTTTTCTGTGCAGAGAGACTGCAAATCGAAAGAGATCAGTCCATAGTCATGCGAGCAACTTGGGTCAGGTGTGTATGCTTGTTCCAAGGCTTATTTCCCAGGATGGCCACTCCTAGGAGCTATGAGGCAGGATCTTGAGAGATGCCGTATTTGCACTCAACCAGAGAAGAATCTGAAGTGCCCTTGGATTTCCATGTTGCGTAATCTGTCTTGTATGGGGTGCACAAGTGGTGTCTCTATTTACCTAATCTTGTTTATGGGTTGTTACATACAGGGATTTTTCGCTTCCTGTGCTAATTGCTGTTTTATGATGATGGCAATTTAATGTATCTTATGGTTTTCGTTTTTATATTGCTTCTTGTTTTTGTGGCTATAAGCCACCTTGGATTCCTTTTTGAAAACTGGCAGGATGTAAGTTTTTCTTTTCTTTTTAAATTAAAGTAAAATAATAAAAAAGCAGCTGGTCCATCCAGAAATCTCATCCTGATTTTCCCTATCCCAGAGCAGCTATAACCTCACATGGGCACCAGAGTTAATGGCTTCAGGTACTCCATAGAAGGATTGTGATTTAAGATTGACAGAATCCAAGATGCACTTGTGTCAGACTCAGTATTTTATTTTAAAACAGTCTACAAAGATGAATATGAGTTGTGTCACACTGGAAGTTCATAGCTGCTACAGAAATTGCAGAGCTCTGGTTTACCACTTTAAGAAACTGCAGCCTGAAATTAGTTTTATCAATTATCACATCTTCCCAGAATCAACCTGGATTTTTATCTCACTATTCAGAATAGTGTCGCATCAATACAGTAGCAAACATGATTTCAGAAAACAAGTTTCATTTTCATGTCAGTCCAGCTTTGTAAAGTAACACCTCAACCTTTATAGGAGCAAAGTTTAGCATCCTTAGTAGAGCGATGTCAAAGGATGACTATCAGCTCATACCTGCAATTGTAAGGGATGAGGAAATCAGATTTATATATTACATTTACTAAACACTGAAGCTGAGACTGCATGTAATAGTGGCAGTTTTGGGTTTAAAACATACAGATCTGCTGTCACGTGCAGTTTGAGCCTCAATGAGGTATTCTTGATAGATCAGCTTGCAGTTGACAGGAAAAAAGCAGAGCCACAGATGTCGCAAACCTGAACTGGAAGAAAAAGTAATGCAGTATTTCTACTTAAAGAGCAATTGCCTACTAGTCCGGGCAAAGAATGACATGAAGAATGAATGAAGCACAGGGGTCTAAGGCAGCACAAAGGAGCCACTTTCAAAGCTCAGAGTAGAAAGCTTATCTATGAAAAGAGGACCAAGCACATGTCTTGGAACTACAATTAACTAGGCTTGCTGTCAGTTCTAAAGTGCCTTCCATACGGAACTACTAACTTATGGAAATATTAATTCACCTCCCCCCAAAAGGTTTCCTGATATCCCCATGAGCCAGAGATTATTTATCTCACAAAAACGGGGTATAAGGAGGGAAAGAAAACCAATCTTGCACTATGCGTGAAGACTTGGTGAAAACATGTTCTTTCTTGGAACAGCCGCAATGACGCTGTATTCAGTTCCTGAGGAGGACTTCAAAGCAGATAGCTGCCTGGGGAACCTCTCAGCTCAGCTCCTTCCGTTGAACGGGACAAGGTGCCAAGCCTCCTGCACTCCAAAACTCACCCACGCTTGAGATAATGAAATGGATGCTAGCCTGCTTAACACAACTGTCCAATGCCAAAAGAACCAAGCACAGGCTTAGACTGAAAACATCCCTCCCAATGACTGGTAGTGTTCCGCTACATCACTACTGAATGCCTACCCTACAGAATTACTGTGACCACCACAGGCTTACTCTGATAAATGCATCAAAGGTCCTGTTTGTCTCCACCAAGCACAGCAGAGCTGGATGTGACAGGGACTTTATTATTTTCTACAAAAACAGACTCAAAGGCAGCTTCTTGCTCTTCCAGGGTGTCGGAAGCTGTGGCTCCTGGGATCAAAGTGGCGTTGCTGAGTGCTGGCTCATGCTCAGTAACCTTCTCCAGCTCTACAGCTCGCTTTCCTTTCCTTTTGCCGAGTATTCGGACATAATTAGCTGGAACAAGTCCTGTAGTCTGGCCATCACGGCTGGCCAAGAGCCAGCCACGTATTTTGGGTTGTCGTTCTGGCAAGAAAAAGAAAGACAGACATGAGTGGTTAGCAGAGGAGCCCATGAACAGATAACTGAGTTGTTGAAAGTATTTGGAGAATTCTGCAAAGACCAGTTCGTTTAGATTTTGTGTGACCTTCTCAAACCTTGAGACTTGAGTGAAAACCAATCTGAAGAGCACACTTGAGACGTAATGATTAATAAAACAGTTCAATGACCAAATCAATGACTTTGAAATGTCAAGATTTCAAAAAGGACTAGCAAATGTCATTAACAGAAACAGTGAAGCCTAGCTTTCAGAAACTTCATACAATATATTAAACCAGTCAACTCTAGTTGCATACCTCTAGTTTGAGTACATTGACACAAGTTATACAACAAATCTAAAGACTGCAGATGTAGGTATTTCTATGGAACAAGTAACCATCTGCAAGAAATGCCACTGCTTCCTGTTAGACAAACAAATTGCCCCTAAAGTGCTCAAACTGTCCCTTAACATACAGTTAGGTCAAGAGCGTAAATGTTCTTCTGTTTTCCTAGATACTGCACTGAAATATCTGGGGGTGGGAAATCACAATGAATCAAAACCATCTTACCTTTGGGTGCCAATTTTAGCATTTCACCAGCACGGAAGGAAATTTCTTCTTCTGAAACAGCATTGAAATCGTATTCTGCTCTCCCAACAACATGATCATCCTCTCCACTTGCCCAATTGCTGGAAACTGTTCCACAGAACAAGGGATAAATAAGTCAACATAACTCTGCTGGATCAGTACAGTCTCTTACAAAACAATCTTTGAGAGTCAGTATGGTGCAAGGGGTACAGGAAACCCAGTTCAATTATTCCCTACTCTGCTACACAGCTCATGAGCCAAGCTATCAACTTTCAGGCTGCCCTAATTCAAGTCCCTTAGTTGTTGTGCCAAGGCTGAAAACCATCAGACTCATAAATAAGTTCAAAAGCTAACAGGAAAGCTCAAATGTACACACACAACTGATGTATGTCATTTGTGAGCTACAAAGAAAGAGAGAATTTTTTGTAAGTGGTTGTTTGGAGACAATCTCAATTTGCCAGAGGCAACCAACCAAGAAGTGATTTCCAAACCTGACTGAACCCCTTAGCAGAAGGCCATGGTGCACACAAATTAAAGTGCTTAACTTGATCGGTTAAAGTCAGCCCATGATATGTATGTGCTATACTTAAGTGTTTTACGCCTTCAAAGCCTTTTTCCAGCAAAGCATTTCAAATTCCAGGGTGAACACTGAACATTCACTAGGTACTGGAACGTGTTCTAAATTCCCTTTTCATTATACTGGTACATAAAAGCAAGATTTGTTCCTCCCTCCCACCTCGAAGCTGAAATTAGGGAAGCACGGTATCTAAACCTGCTCTTCTCACCCTCCTTTAGAATCTCTTGGCAGGACCCACATATAACACCAAGCATAGCGCTGTGGCCTTGGAACAGAGTGGGACATGCGAGACCTGAGGTTAGATTCTCTGTTCAGCCATGAAAGTAGCTGACAGCTGAACTACAAATTCCCAGTCCAGTCTTTGCCATCGCTGAGCAAAGTGCAATGCAATGACACCTCCTGTTATGAGATCAGGTTGAAAACGGTGCCTTCCTAAATTATGAGAAATGCCACGGGTATTAAGAGAGGGTGACATCAAATGTTTGTGGTTTCTATCAACTCAAGCGTATTGCTGGCTGTAGACAGCTTGTTTCAAACTTTAAACAAGACAAACACAAAAGCAAGCAAGAATACAAAGCCTAAATAAAGTGTTGCTTTTAAAATAAATTGCAGTTAGTGTTTGCAACAGGCAGGATTGTTGATGGAGAATATTTGTTGATGAACACTGTTTGCATGGCTGGTTGGAAGGGGCAGAGCTTTCGTTTCAGGGTGGTGGTAAGAGCATATGGTGAACTCACACTCACTGCAGAAAACCAGAGAGGCCTGTCATGTTATAGTGCATTCCTGTTCTGAGACAAATCAATTCTACCCTTGGGGTGGGGTGTAAAGAGCATCTAAGCACCAGGTAAAAACGAGCTTAACACTTAACTTGCCTGCCATTTGGTTTGCGGGAAAAGGCCCTATTTCTCTTTATTTTATTGTTATTTCACTTCCCTTTTGGCTACTGTCCAAGGCTGTAGAACTCTTGCAGTAATATATGTGTCAGACGCCTTCAGAACCTCAGCTTGCTATCATTTTCCCCATCTGCCTCCCACATTAACCATTATTAATCCTACCTAAAGGTAAAGGTAAAGGTACCCCTGCCCGTACGGGCCAGTCTTGACAGACTCTAGGGTTGTGCGCTCATCTCACTCTATAGGCCGGGAGCCAGCGCTGTCCGCAGACACTTCCGGGTCACGTGGCCAGCGTGACAAGCTGCATCTGGCGAGCCAGCGCAGCACACGGAATGCCGTTTACCTTCCCGCTGGTAAGCGGTCCCTATTTATCTACTTGCACCCGAAGGTGCTTTCGAACTGCTAGGTTGGCAGGCGCTGGGACCGCGTGACGGGAGCGCACCCCGCCGCGGGGATTCGAACCGCTGACCTTTCGATTGGCAAGTCCTAGGCGCTGAGGCTTTAACCCACAGCGCCACCCGCGTCCCTTAATCCTACCTACAATCACACAAAAAATCCCCTTCTCCCACACAACATGAAGATCAGACCGTGTTATTACTGAATTCCTGATTATTATTATTATTATTAGCATGCTTTAATAATACTGGTTGTTAGGTTGTATCTCTGTTTTTCTTATCCTGCTTCGTTTCCCCCCCTGCTGTATATTTGCACACTGCTTAAAGAGATGCTTAAATATGAAGCAGCTTAGATGTTTTAAAATTAAGTGAATGTATGCTAAACCAGGGTTTCCGACATGAAGCAGGGTTGCCAAATGCCGGTTCGCCTCACTGCAAATACAACACTAACCTATGGATAAGGCAGAAAATGGGAGGGTAAAATCCAGGCTGAAGAGGGCAAAAGGGGGTGTTTAAAACTTAGTTTGCTCTCAATTTGCTGCTTGCCTGGTCTCCTGTGGCAAAGGAGTATCCCAGGTGAAGAGACAGATCAGCAAGAGAGAAAATTCTTTACTGGGCCGCAAAGGTCTGTAGCCAGGCAAGCCACTAACTTTTGTGGACCCATCTGGAAGGCTGCTAGTAACTACAGTGGTACCTCGGGTTAAGTACTTAATTAGTTCTGGAGGTCCTTTCTTAACCTGAAACTGTTCTTAACCTGAAGCACCACTTTAGCTAATGGGGCCTCCTGCTGCCGCTGTGCCGCCGGAGCACGATTTCTGTTCTTATCCTGAAGCAAAGTTCTTAACCTGAAGCACTATTTCTGGGTTAGCGGAGTCTGTAACCTGAAGCGTATGTAACCTGAAGCGTATGTAACCCAAGGTACCACTGTACTGTGGACTTGCTTGTAACACTGTCATGTACACTAGGGCCGAGGGATAAATCAATACTGTATATCGTCCAAAACCGGTTTGAAGTCCATATTGTTATACAGTGGAACCTCGGGTTACGTTACCCTCGGGTAACATAAACTTCGGGTTGCGAAAGTGGCAAACTCTGAAGTGTTTCGCCGCTTGTGCAGGCACAGAAACGGTCTCTCCAGTTGCAAAAACTTCGGGATACGGCCGGATCTCTGGAACGGATCCCATTCACAACCGTAGGTACCACCATATCGGTTTCATAATTTCTGACCTGGCAATGTATTGTGAATCATGATATGTGTGTGTACACGCTATGCAAAAATCACAACGTGGGAAAAACCATGAAGCCAGCCCATGCTTCTCTCCATAGACGATGGAAATATTTTTGAGAAGGAATGATAACACACAAGCTTGCCTTCCACATTAGAAAATGTAATTCACCAAAAACCTGCGAAACACCTGGGCAAAGTTCAAGTTGCCTTCATGGTCATTCATTGAAACCTGATTCTGTGTTGCCACTTGCTCGCTTTACCCACAGCCCAGCAGCATAGACCGGGAAATATTTGTAAAAGTGCTTGGATCCCCACAACCCAAACAACTCCTTTACCTGTTTCGTCCTCAGTGTAGGTGGACAGCAGCTTCCAAATGAGGTAAGGACCCCCGAGAACAACGGCAAAGAATAGGAAAATGGGCCAGGATTTTGCAGAGTTGGCCGCCCTTTCCTCGGGGCCAGCACAGGCCACAGTCCCTTCGCTTTCTGCCCACAAATCATCGTTTTCGGAATTCTTTCTCAGACCCAGCAACCGCTGCAGCCGCCTGTAAAGGTACCGTATAGTTCTGACCAAGGCAAAAGCTGAAAACACCTTGGTGAAGTGGATCTTGAGCCGGGAGAAGTGGTTGGCTACGTCTAAGACGGCTCGGAAGCTGTTGTAGACCGCCGAAAAGGTAGCGTCCATCATCATGCTGACCGAGGCGAAGGCGTGCACGATGCTTTCGATGGACTGGAATGCGCCGCGGCTGCTCTCCTCGGCCTGCTGCACAAACCGGCTGGCGGGAACGTCGTCCACCCGAAACCGGTTGTAGCCCATGCTGCCATATCCGTAGCTGTAAGGGCTGTAGCTTCCGTAGAAGGAGTTCCCGTACGTGCCGTAGCCTGAGCTGAAGGGGCTGCTGTACGAAGGCCTGAAAGAGCTCAGGGCCGTGCTCCCAGTCTGTTGAGATGGCCTTGGCACAATGGGAGGGGGCACGCGGGTGAGGGTGGGCTGCCCAGGCCGCGTCAGCTGACTAACTCCCACATCTGGAGATCTAAAACGCACAAGTTCAATGTTAGCACACAGGATGGTTTTATGCTAAAAAATAATCCCTCATCCCACACTCCTTCCAAACAGTGTGTACACTTAGAAGTTGACATTAATTATGCCTATGTTATAATTATGCTCTTTGGACCCAGGTTCAGGCATCACTAAAACACTAGACTTATAAAACAACAACCCCACACACTGATCCTCTGCTCTGGTTTTTGACACATGAAAAATGTTGAATCTCAATAGACAGTTCATATTGAACAAAGACTGCGGTTCAGCTGTGCTGAACCAATGTTGGTAGGGATGGACATTCAACAGAAGCAGAATGGCAACATCTTTATTAGGACCAATTCATAAAGTTTCATTAGTCTGTCCTAATAAAGGCATTACCTAACAGTTGTTTGGGGATGAATACTTCTCAGCTGAATGTGCATGAGCTGCTGTGAGGCAGGGAGAGGATGTCTGCTGGGTAGAAAATGCCTCCTTAAGAGAGGAAGAGGTTCCAGCTCTTTTAAAGGAAGCTGCAACAAGGCCACTTCTGAAAACGGCAAGCCTGTGGCAAACATCCCCTTCCGAGGCAAAGTGCTTGAAAAAGGGGTTGTTGGTCAGTTCCGGGTGGTCTTGGGTGAAGATGGTTTCCTTTATCCATTCCAACTGAATTTGGAACAGAAATTGTCTTTAGTCACCCGGTGGGGCATGTTACCGATATGCTCTGCCTTGCTGTTATCTGGGCATAACCTTTTAGCCCATAGCTGTCAACTTTCAGATTTGAAAATAAGGGATCAGCAGCTTCGAAAATAAGGGATCAGCAGCCTCACCTGTCCCGGGGACAGTCTACGGGATATCTAACAATCCAGGATAGCAGCGGGAAGCACTGGGAAACGGCGCTGGAATAAGGGAATTTCCCGCAAAAAAAGGGAAGGTTGACAGCTATGCTTTAGCCCCATGACTCCTAAAGCTTCGCTCTGCATATGGTTGTGCAAAGCAAGAGGCTTATGCAAACGTGACAAAGGAATCAAGCAGCTGTGCTCCACAGCGGTCCATTTCTATTGGAATTGTGCTTAGCCTCGTTGCCTATGAGGTTTAAGGACTCCGGATGTAGGCAGGTGCCCTGCCCTGCACTCAAACCTTTTCGCAAACAGCCATCACAAATGCATGCCTTCAATCAACGCATCCTGCAACAGCCCTGGGGAGAACAAAAGCATCTCTACCTGTAGAGAATCAACAGTCATTGTGGAACCCTCACACCCCATGAAACACCAGTGGTAAGCCTAAAAGGATATACACGACACACAAAGGAATAAATCCTAAAATGCGTTTCTGCACTTGCAGCAGGGATAGCCTATGTGGGCCCCTCCAGATGCTGCCATCACCCGAAGAGCGACATTCAGGTCCTTTATTGCTTGTGTATTGCTGCTTTTCTTTTGGCGACCTTTGGTCTATTTGGAGAAACTAGAAGTATGCCAATTCTGCCGTCTTTTTTGACTTGGCTTCTCGCTTGTTATCAACCTTTCCATCGCTCCCCTCAAATGTCTGTGACACAGACACCTGCTTACCGATTTGGAAACAGGCAACTTATTGCCTCACTGGAGGATTCGAAAGGTCAGAGGAAGGTATGGCAGAAATGGCAAAGAACCTGTTGTGGGTGCCAACACTCCTGGGGAAAGATCTGAAAGTCTGGGTGAAAACTGAGCTTTTAAGAAGGAAGTGGACTACAACTGGGTCTATTTGCAATTTTGCTTGCACAAACTAAGGCACTTTGTTTTAAATGTAATAAATATGCCAAGCTAATGGCCATAAACATATCTTGTGGCATTCTAACACAAAGCAGTTAACTCTACATGCAACAAAATTTTAAAAAATGGCACATAATATGCAGATCAATACACATCTCTTAAAATACAATGTGTGTACATCTGTTCTGATCAAAATACAGGTTATTTGCAACTTCATATATGGAAGTTTGCCCAATGTAAGAATTTGGGAATCTGAATATTCAAAGGAATCTAAACTTGCAAAATACTAATGAAACCATGTTGCATACAGTGGTGCCTCGCAAGACGAAATTAATTCGTTCCGCAAGTCTCTTCGTCTTGCGGTTTTTTCGTCTTGCGATGCACGGTTTCCCATAGGAATGCATTGAAAATCAATTAATGCGTTCCTAGGGAAACCGCCTTCAGACCAGGTCCGGGGACAGTCTGTCCCCGGACCTCTTCTGAAGGCTGGGGGGAGGGGACAAGGGCTTTTCTTCCCACCCCCAGCATTTTAAAAAACCCTGGGACAGCGGAGGACTTCTCCGCTGTCCGGGGCGATCTTAAAATGCTGGCGGGCAGCATTTTAAAATCGCCCCGGACAGCGGAGGACTTCTCCGCTGTCCGGGGCGATTTAAAAGCCCCTGGGAAAGGAGGCAGGGGGGACAAAGACTTTCGCCCCCTGCCCGCCTTCAGAAGGTGTTCCCGCCCCCCGCCCCGCTTCGGAACAGCTTTCCGAAGTGGGGCGGCTGGGCCAGGTGTCCCTGCCCCCCCTCCCCACTTCGGAACAGCTTTCCGAAGTGGGGCGGCTGGGCCAGGTGTCCCCGCCCCCCCTCCCCACTTCGGAACAGCTTTCCGAAGTGGGGCGGCTGGGGCAGTTGTTCCCGCCCCCCCTCCCCACTTCGGAACAGCTTTCCGAAGTGGGGCGGCTGGGCCAGGTGTCCCCGCCCCCCCTCCCCACTTCGGAACAGCTTTCCGAAGTGGGGCGGCTGGGGCAGTTGTTCCCGCCCCCCCTCCCCACTTCGGAACAGCTTTCCAAAGTGGGGCGGCTGGGCCAGGTGTCCCGCCCCCCCTCCCCACTTCGGAACAGCTTTCCGAAGTGGGGCGGCTGGGGCAGTTGTTCCCGCCCCCCCTCCCCACTTCGGAACAGCTTTCCGAAGTGGGGCGGCTGGGGCAGTTGTTCCCGCCCCCCTCCCCACTTCGGAACAGCTTTCCGAAGTGGGGCGGCTGGGCCAGGTGTCCCCGCCCCCCCTCCCCACTTCGGAACAGCTTTCCGAAGTGGGGCGGCTGGGGCAGTTGTTCCCGCCCCCCTCCCCACTTCGGAACAGCTTTCCGAAGTGGGGCGGCTGGGGCAGTTGTTCCCGCCCCCCCTCCCCACTTCGGAACAGCTTTCCGAAGTGGGGCGGCTGGGCCAGGTGTCCCCGCCCCCCCTCCCCACTTCGGAACAGCTTTCCGAAGTGGGGCGGCTGGGGCAGTTGTCCCCGCCCCCCCTCCCCACTTCGGAACAGCTTTCCGAAGTGGGGCGGCTGGGCCAGGTGTCCCCGCCCCCCCTCCCCACTTCGGAACAGCTTTCCGAAGTGGGGCGGCTGGGGCAGTTGTTCCCGCCCCCCCTCCCCACTTCGGAACAGCTTTCCGAAGTGGGGCGGCTGGGCCAGGTGTCCCCGCCCCCCCTCCCCACTACGGAAAAGCTTTCCGAAGTGGGGCGGCTGGGGCAGTTGTTCCCGCCCCCCCTCCCCACTTCGGAACAGCTTTCCGAAGTGGGGCGGCTGGGCCAGGTGTCCCCGCCCCCCCTCCCCACTTCGGAACAGCTTTCCGAAGTGGGGCGGCTGGGGCAGTTGTTCCCGCCCCCCCTCCCCACTTCGGAACAGCTTTCCGAAGTGGGGCGGCTGGGCCAGGTGTCCCCGCCCCCCCCACTTCGGAACAGCTTTCCGAAGTGGGGCGGCTGGGGCAGTTGTTCCCGCCCCCCCTCCCCACTTCGGAACAGCTTTCCGAAGTGGGGTGGCTGGGGCAGTTGTTCCCGCCCCCCCTCCCCACTTCGGAACAGCTTTCCGAAGTGGGGCGGCTGGGCCAGGTGTCCCCGCCCCCCCTCCCCACTTCGGAACAGCTTTCCGAAGTGGGGCGGCTGGGGCAGTTGTTCCCGCCCCCCCTCCCCACTTCGGAACAGCTTTCCGAAGTGGGGCGGCTGGGGCAGTTGTTCCCGCCCCCCCTCCCCACTTCGGAACAGCTTTCCGAAGTGGGGCGGCTGGGCCAGGTGTCCCCGCCCCCCCTCCCCACTTCGGAACAGCTTTCCGAAGTGGGGCGGCTGGGCCAGGTGTCCCCGCCCCCCCTCCCCACTTCGGAACAGCTTTCCGAAGTGGGGCGGCTGGGCCAGGTGTCCCCGCCCCCCCTTCGGAACAGCGTTTTAAAATGCTGGGGGTCGGGAGCGAAGCGCTGCCGACCCCCAGCATTTTAAAATCTCCCCGTGTCCCGGGAAGATTTTAAAATGCTGGGGGTCGGCATTTTAAAACCTTCCCGGGACACGGGGAGATTTTAAAATGCTGCGGGTCGGCAGCGCTTCGCTCCCGACCCCCAGCATTTTAAAATCTCCCCGGGACAGAGACTTCTCTGCTGTCCCTTGGAGATTTTAAAATGCTGGGGGTCGGCAGCGAACGCTTTGCTCCCGCCCGCCAGCATTTTAAGATCGCCCGGGGCAGGCGGGGGGGGGGCAAGACTTTTGCCCCCCTCCGGCCTTCAGAAGAGGTCCTCTTCTGAAGGCCGGCTGTGGGCGAAAGTCTTTGCTCCCGACCGCCAGCATTTCCCTATGGGCTTTCGTCTTGCGATGCAAGCCCATAGGGAAATTCGTCTTGCGAAGCGCCTCCAAAACAGAAAACCCTTTCGTCTTGCGGGTTTTCCGTCTTGCGAGGCATTCGTCTTGCGGGGTACCACTGTATCAGGCCCTTCAATGGAATAAAATGGCTTATTTTGCAAACATGAAGCCATAATGCTTTCAAGAGGGAGGTTTTAATTAAGGCAACGGAATATTGCAATAGCGCATCTTGTTTTAATTAGCAGTGAAACCCAAAGACATTTCACCGCCACAGGAAAGGAGCTTAAGTTATGGGGATGAGCAACCTGTTCAATTTTATGGGCTCAAATCTTAGAAAATCTTAGCTGTTGTGAATGCCCGGAAGGTATGAACTGAAATCTGAAGCTGCAAGGTTTCCCAAATTTGGGCTGTAATCTTGTGAACACTTAGGTCACATTCCACAAC